AACATGTATTAGAATGCTTAAATTCGTAACTTGTCTAGTGGTCCATTTTACGGATAAAAAATTTTCGCAGCAGTTCCCGAAATTAATGAAGATCCATGATTACCGTAAAACCTTGGGGGTATTTCTAATCAGACATGTTAGTCTAGTACCAGTAGATCTTAAAAGGGGTTATGAATGCAAGAAAGAGGTCAGAGGAGGTTAGAGATGATTCTTATGTATTATTGGTCGCTGAACCCGAATTCTAGGTTTCCCATCAAACCCAATCACTTGTGCGTTCTCCGGCAACTGCCGAAAATGACGTTTTTACGCGCTTTTCTGGGCATAAATAGCCTAATAATTACATTGCATTTTGCAAAAAGGAACCATGAGCGGTCCAACGGTGCTGTGATTGTGCAACTTACATTCATTGCGAAAAATTACCGAAGTAATGTAAAAGAAGAAACTTAAAAGGGTAATTTTCGCCTTGAATTCATAGTTTATTGGGAGTAAAGATAAAACTCGTTTAAATTAGATGATCAGTTTATATTTGAAAGGTGAAAAAGTTGTTCAATCATAGCGACATTGGAATTCTCTTGGTTCATTTTTGCATAACGCAATGAGTAACAGAGAAAGAACAGAAACCTTGATTGCAAAATTGGACAATTTTGTAGGCACCAAGATAGCATTTTAGGCCACTTCTGTCATCTTAGATTTTCAAATTTTGAAAATTTGACTGAAAATCGACTTTCAGGTTGAAAATATCCTCTGGCACCAAATGCCGCTAAAATGGATCAAAAAGGAGTCGCGGTTTGTAGGATCAGTCGGACTCGTGGTAAATGATAGAAGTCAATTTACATTATAAATAATGTTAATGCGCCTGCAATTTCGTCTTATACTGTGCAATACTTCTGTGGCGGAATAGTTGTTCAGAGCGCCTACAACAGTAACACCTCGACTTAACGGCAAAGGATTGAGATTACCGCTGAAATTACACTCTAGCGTGTGCACAGTTGCACATTCTACTATAACAGACGATGGTGAGATAAATAACGTTCATATCTCGCTTTGTGACCATGACCACGGTACCGATATCTTTGGCATCAGTATATAACTGTGAATTTCCGTCTGTCGGTATAACGATAAATGCGCTCTTAAACCCAAATTTGAACTCAACTTTCATACGACCGAAAAACCATACTACTACAGAACTTTGAAAAACTTTAACAAAAGTTATTGTTACTACAAAAAATTCGCCGCCAAATTCTGAACTGAGTGGTCCGAAACTTTGTTTGAAAATTTATTGTAGATTTGAGTTCCTTTTATTATTTAGTTAAATTACTCCTGCTCCTTAATTTTTAATAATTCTGCAAACACTATCCATTTGCGAAATACAACCCTGGCTTTAGCGCCCTTAAACTACGTTAGTTTTTCGCATTTTATTGTAGATTTGAGTTCCTTTTGTTATTTAGTTAAATTATTCCTGCTTCTTAATTTTTAATTATTATGCAAAAATTATCTTTTTGCAAAATACAACTCTGGTTTTAGCGCCCTTAAACTACGGCCTGAACGGTCGAAACTGTAGTAGCGGCAAAAGAAAACCGAAAAACAACGCGAGGACGCTTAATCAATGTTGAACTTCCATCGCCTTGCTAAGGCGCAGGGATACAACTATTTGAACTCTCCGGAACGTGTGAGGTATCACGCTTCAATTGAGGGCGTTTTCCAATCTTCTGTATTTATATGACGAGATTTTCCAAAGTTTTTCTGCACCATATTGTAGATTTGAGTTCCTATTATTATTTAGTTGAATTACTCCTGCTCTTTAATTTTTAATTATTCTACAAAAATTACCTTTTTGCGAAGTACAATCCTGGCTTTAGGGCCCTTAAACTACGGCCTTAATGGTCGAAACTGAAGTAGCGGCACAGGAAAACCGAAAAACAACGCGCGGACGCTACTTCAATATTTAGCTTCCATCGCCTTGGTAAGGCGCAGGGCTACAACTATTTGAACTCTCCGGAACGCGTGAGGTATGACGCTTCATTTGAAGGCGTTTTCGAATCTTCTGTATTTACATGACGAGATTTTCCAAATGTTTTTGCATTATATTGCAGATTTGAGTTTCTTTTATATTTAGTTAAATTACACATCCTCCTTAATTTTCAATTATTCTGCAACAATTATCTTTTTGCGAAATACAATCCTGGCTTTAGGGCCCTTATACTACGGCCTCAACCGTTTAAACTTCAGTAGCGGCACAGGAAAACCGAAAAACAACGCGTGGACGCTACTTCAATATTAAGCTTCCATCGCCTTGCTAAGGCGCAGGGATACAACTATTTGAACTCTCCGGAACGCATGAGGTATCACGCTTCAATTGAAGGCGTTTACGAATCTTCTGTATTTACAAGAAGAGACTTTCCAAATTTGATTGCATTATATTGTCGATTTGAGTTCCATTTATTAATTAGTTAAATTACTCATCCTCCTTAATTTTCAATTATTCTGCAACAATTATCTTTTTGCGAAATACAATCCTGGCTTTAGGGCCCTTATACTACGGCCTCAACCGTTTAAACTACAGTAGCGGCATAGGAAAATCGAAAAACAACGCGGGGACGCTACTTCAATATTAAACGTCCATCGCCTTGGTAAGGCGCGGGGATACAACTTTTTGAACTCTCTGGAACGCGTGAGGTATCACGCCTCAATTGAAGGCGTTTTCGAATCTTCTGTATTTTCATGACGAGATTTTCCAAAGTTTTTTTGAATCATATTGTAGATTTGAGTTCCTATTATTATTTAGTTAAATTATTCCTGCTTCTAAATTTTTTATTTATTCTGCAAAAATTACGTTTTTGCGAAATACAATCCTAGTTTTAGCGCCCGTCAAGTGCGGCCTTAACGGTCAAAACTGCAGTAGCGGCACAGGAAAGCCAAAAAACCTAACGGGAATGCTACTTCAATATTAAACTTTCATCGCCTTGCTAAGGCGCAGGGATACAACTATTTGAACTCTCCGGAACGCGTGAGGTATCACGCCTCAATTGAAGGCGTTTCCGAATCTTTTGTATTTACATGACGAGATTTTCCAAATTGTTTTGCATTATACTGTAGATTTGAGTTCCTATTATTATTTAGTTAAACTACTACTGCTTCTTAATTTTTAATTATTCTGCAAAAATTATCTGTTTGCGTAATACAAACCTGGCTTTAGCGCCCTTAAAATACGGCCTTAACGGTGAAAACTGCAGTAGCGGCACACAGGGGCGGACTGGTAGTCGAAAAGTTAGGAAGAGACCTAAATGTAAGGGCCCCCCCTGTCGTTCGGGGGCCCCTCTAAGAAGGTCCGGGGGCCCTCCCCTGGTAAATTTTGAAAATCTCACAATTTTTAAACACGTAGGCAATATTGGAGTTGGATTCTACAGTACTTGAACTTCAAAATAACCCATTCTCAGGATTCATCGGGGGTCCCTTGATCGCAAATGCTTTTGGCGACCTTCCATGTCTCTTATTAAATACAAAATTTCAAGGAATTTGGGGCCTTTTAGTGATTGAAAAGGATAAGAAAATTACAACATTCGGGGAAAAAACGATGACCCGTGGGGTCCCCTTCGGGACTTCTGCGGCAAATTGTTACGGGGCGATCGCCTCCCCGCCCCCATGGCCAGTCCGCCCCTGCAGAACTCCTTTAGCTGACAAATATCTCAAGTGATGGGCGCCACGCAAAGCAACGTTCCTTTACAACGCCTGCAAGATGCAACCACTCCATGGTTGATGACAATGTTGCATACCCAAAAAATTGAAGGCGCGCCGGCCTTCCTTGTACACTCACGAGTCGTGCCGAGCGTCTGTGCCAAAACCATTTGACTGCACTTGAGGAGAAATTGGCACTGACACGAGTGATTTGGAATTTTGAATATTGTCCATTCTTTGATGAATAACAAACCAGAATTAAGAGACGTTTTAATACGCGAACATGGAGTCCACATTTGGAGAATTAGCACGCGCACCAGCGCAGGCAGCGGGCTGTAAAAGGTATTGGCTAGCGCATTCCGCCACTGCTGCCACTGATTTGTCATCAGTTTTTGCACGATGTTTCGCGGCGCGGAACGAATGTTCCGAAAAAGTCCTGCATTCGAATGATCCGCAGATGGAACTTTCGCGAGGTCTTGGGTTCAATCAGCCGACGAAGTGTTTCGAAAAATATACTGATGCAATTAATGAGACCCCTCGAGGTCAATAGTAATTTGGATTGCATTTAGCAAAAAGGAGCCAAGAGCATTCCAATGTTGCTATAGGACTGTGCAACTTAAATTTTTTGCAAAAAAAATACTGAAATCGTGCAAAAAATGAAATTTATGAAGGTAATTTTCTTCGTGAAATTGTAGTTAAATGGGAGTAAAGATAAGCGCGATTACAGTGATTTTTAAATTGTGCAACTTCTTCTCTTTAGAAAATACGAAATATATTTACAGTTTTCAAATTCACCCAATTATTTTCCTTTAAAATTGACAATTTTTTGGGGGAAAACAAAAACTATTTACTACTATGGGAGATTTTTGGATAATTATAAAGGAGCAACATTTTTACAACACTGATCACGCTGGTTCATGTTTGCTAAATGCGATCCAAATAACTGTGATCGACAAAAGTGTAGAAAAAATTTTACTTTGTTATGTTGGAGGGGGAGGGGGGATACCATTAACATTTCAAACCACCTTAATGGTAAGAGCGACTACATACGAAAGTTTGCCCCCCGGGNGGGGGGGGGGGGGGGGAGCTATGCTTATGATGGTGAAGCGTGTTGTCCGATTTGGTGTGACATGCAATCAGTACCGCTCAGCGGTCTTACTCAAATTAGCGCCTGAAAAATTTTCGCCATAATTCCGGATTCGTGCATGCTTCATGAGACATCCGGAAACCCGAAAAAAATCCGGAATCCGGAGTGGATCCCCGGTCCTGAAAGTGGCATCACTGGCCGATTGTAATAACCTGGTCCGAGCGCAGCGATCCCTCCGAACGGCCGAGCGCGGATTAGCGGGCAGGACCCTCGTGCCGGGCTAAAACCACCCAACTCCAACGGAAACCCGATGCACGACTGCGGTTTTGCGCGGCGCAGCGGAGGAGATTTTGGCAAGCGACTCGGCATGGCAGTCGCGTCGGTCCAGGCGCTAAGCGGCATTATAAATAGCCCGCAACAATGCGGCACGGTGGAATCGTTGGATTCTCCTCAGTCGTCAGGTCGACCGATCGCGCACCGACCGCAATCCCGTCAGGATACAGGAAATCCGTCCGGGTTACGCAACGGCCTCTTATCCCACTTTTTAGGGTAACACAGTGTCCCCGAAAACTAAGGTCCGCCTGAACCCCACACTCCCCTCCCTGGGCTCTGTTCAGTTGAGGTGAGTCGACTTTCACTAACTTTCATTTTCAATTTTAGCGGCGGGAGAGACGGGATTTCAAATTTTAAAATTTCACAAAAAAAAAAAAAAAATGTTTTACTTAATGATTTATTGAAAGACAACTGAACTGGGTCAAATTTTTCTAAGTGCCATCTGAAAAATTCAAATTTTAAGTTTTCTACGATCAGGCCAATGTTAAGAGTACAGGGCCAGAGGCATAGTTAGGAAAGTTCTAGAAGCGCGGCACTGCAAAATTCAATCTTCAGGCACTGGCTCATTAAAAATGAAGGACTCAAGCATTATTCCTTGATAAATCTACACTCCCAAAGATATCCTCATGGGTCTCTCATTTTCTTTTTTCATCTTGCAGGATTCTCCAAGTTTTTATGACATTATGAAGTGGAGAGGTAAACAAATAGTGAAAATGAGTGATGAGGGTTGAAATCGGCACTTGTTTCATATTTAGGTAGAAAACTTTCCTAGTAGGAATAGAACAGATAACCAGTTACATTGTGTCCAATGATTTGAGTTCTATATCACTGACGAAAATAGAAATACTGATGTACCTACAGATTTCAGTGTTCTAAGTCACCATTCTAACTTCATAAAAAAAAATAAAAATAAAAAAAAGCAACATTAGCTTAACTGATTTTCTTAGTCTGGTATTTTTGCAAGAAAATTATGGAAATTATCAAGAAAATTGCGGAGCTATCCAGAAAAATTGTCTGAAATTGACACAATTAATTAAATATGTACATTTGGTGTTTCTACAGTACATTACAGTTGGGGCAGGATGTCTTGCACTAAAATAAGTGCTCAATATGTTTACCACGGATCTATGACATTCTTCACTGCAGAGAGAAAAAGTGATTCTGGAGAAGAGCGAAACATTATTTATACATCACAGCAACATTTCTAAACTAATTTTCAGAGAACTGCTGGCCAATCCTTTTTCAAAACTTTGCAGTGCTCTTAAAAAATCTTTTTTTGATCTTTTTTTCATCTAGCAATGTATTTTGTCACACAATTTAGTGTTTTTTCTCATGCTAGTTAAACTTTTAAACCATTTTTCAAATACTTTCATTCCTGTCTGATAACAGTAGGATCCTACTACTTTTATACAATTTTTTTGAATTAACTGCAACGTTTCTTATCTTTTTGATTTTTTCCCTTTTCTTTTTTTAAATCTATTCCAGATGTCAAATCAGTGCGCAACTTGTGGGGAGGAAGCCAAATTATTGTGTTCAGGATGTCATAGTCTTTATTACTGCGGCAGAGAACATCAGAAAAAACACTGGAAAACACACAAACCAGAATGCACCACCTTCCGATTAGAATACTCGCCAACCATGGGTCGATATGTAGTCGCAAACAGAGACATCAAACAAGGAGAGATCATTTTGAAGGAGAAACCTATCGTCCTGGGCCCGAAAATAGCTTCTCTACCTGTATGCTTAGGATGCAATCGACGGCTGAAAGCTACAGCGATGGACGATGATGATCCTTTAGAGTACTACAAATGTTCCAAATGTGGTTGGCCTCTATGTGCACCTAGATGTGAAGATTCTCCGAATCACCGTGACGAGTGCAAACTGATGAGTGAGAGAAATTATCGCAGCCCAATCCAGTACCAAGACTCACCCAAAAAGGAATCAAGTTACTGCTGTATAACGCCTTTACGCTGCCTTCTTCTCCCACAAAAGGAATTTCAAAGACTGAGCGGACTACAATCCCACTTAGATGAGCGAATCAATACTCCCTTGTATAAAATTTTGAAGACTAATTTAGTGATGTTTATTCGTGAGGTACTAGGCTTAAAACAGTTTGACGAAAGGACAATACTAAATGTTGCGGGTATTTTGGACACCAATGCTTTTGAAATTCGTAGAAACATGGGGAATGTAAAAATTCGAGGTTTATATCCTCGAACAGCAATGCTGTCTCATAACTGCAAGCCAAATACAAAGCATGTATTTGCAGGAGAAGATTTTGAGCTATCCCTAATGGCAACAGTTGATATAAAAAAGGATGAAATAATTTCGGCAACATACACGCAAACCCTGTGGCCAACTCTGGATAGGCGAGCACATTTAAAGATGTCAAAATGTTTTGACTGCAGCTGCGAGAGGTGTGCTGATGCAACCGAGTTCAATACATTCTTAAGTGCCATTAAATGTTCAAAATGTAAAAACTATGTGATATCAACAGAGCCTTTAAACAGACTAGCAGACTGGCAGTGTACATCATGTAGCAAAATTTTCACAGCCAAGCAAATAAGCTTAGGAAATGACGCACTGAAAAAAGAACTCCAATCTTTGGACAAATCTTCGCCATCTCAGCTTGAACACTTTTTAGAGTCATATTTAACTTTTGATGGAGTTCTGCACGAAAATAATTGTCATGTGCTTGAGGCAAAGTATGCTCTTTGTCAGATCTATGGAAATATGCTATCAGGTGAATTGTTCATCTTAATACCTACTTAGGACTTGCTCATATCTTATCAAATGCCGCAATCACACATTGAATGTGGGAGCTGAATGTGGAAGTCATCAGCCCGATGCCTGAATTTTGCGCGTGACGCGCAAAATTCAGCAACGACTCTCAGCAACTATTGGATAATGTCGGATTTGTCTGAACTATTTGAATAAACTTGATAGACATTTGGATGAAAATAACCCGAATAAGTGAAATTTCAGCTGTTGAGCGCTAAATGTTGACTGCCACAATAGCGCTGTCTCCACTCGTCAAAATGGCATCAAAATGAATCGATTTCAACAATAAGTGGCTCTAAGTCGGGACTGGATGCGATTGATGAGTGTTGCAACTCAAAATAGAGCGGCACGACTCTATTTTGATCAACAATCGCGAACAGATCGTATTAATCGATTCATTTTGAGCTTCCATTTTGACAAGTGGACACAGGGCTATTCAGCTGCCAAATTCAGCATGTGATTGCAGCAAAAATTAAAAAATGCCTGTATACAGTTCTTTAAAGTTTAATGGGATTATGCTCATTTTTTTTTTAATTGTAGGTGGAAGCATTCAGTCTGTCAACTAATAGATGTGCTAGAAAAAGATATGCACTGTCGATAGGATTATAAAATTGATGGAAGTTCAAAAGATGAAACACTGATCTCCTTTGCATTTTGCTTTAGGATTTCTTTCAGTTCTCAAAATTTGTATTTAATGATAAGTTCAATATGTTCCTCTAACAAGGGGAGGCTACCGATTGTCCACCTCAGATCGGGTTCAAATTTGGCAGAGAGGTAGAATAGGTTAATATAAGAAACCGTATTTTTTTTTAGGTGCCAATGCCCAGCCGTTTTTGAGTTATGAATTTTTGAAGTTGCCGTTTTTTCGTGTCAGCGACGCGCTCAAGTTGAGCCTACTGTGCGCGCATCTTTTAATGCGATCCGAGTGTCCTGACGCTCAAGTGAGACAGTTGCCCAAACGGTAGCGCGCTCGCCTACGGTGCTGCAGGTTCAGGGTTCAATACTACTTCCGTGTATTACAATTTTGCAATTGATTATTCTGTTTTTTAATCGCTTCATCACAACAAATTGTAAGTCACCTTGTAGACGTTATGATTCTAATTAAATTTTATGTATTTTTTATTTTTTTAATGAGTGTGTAACAAAAAAGGAAAACAAATATAATCAGCACCACGACGTCTACAAGGTGACTTACAATTTGCTGTGATAAAGCGATTAAAAAACAAAATAATCAATTGGAAAAATATAATTCACGGAAGTAGTATCGAACCCTGAACCTGCAGCACCGTAGGCGAGCGCGCTACCGCTTGGGCAACTGTCTCACTTGAACGTCAGGACACTCGGATCGCATTAAAAGATGCGCGCACAGTAGGCTCAACTTGAGCGCGTCGCTGACACGAAAAAACGGCAACTTCAAAAATTCATAACTCAAAAACGGCTGGGCATTGGCACCTAAAAAAAAATACGGTTTCTTATATTAACCTATTCTACCTCTCTGCCAAATTTGAACCCGATCTGAGGTGGACAATCGGTAGCCTCCCCTTGTAAGAGGAATAAAGAAAGCTTCAAGGTAGACGAGTAAAATAAAAAAATTTGACCTCATCGGTAAAAGCTTTATAACTTGTAGAGAATTAAATTTCAAAAGAGCATGAAAAATTAACAGATTGGCTGAAATATGGATTGTGAGAGTCAAATTTGAAAATACATATAGCTTTAGCTACAACTAAAAGAGGAAAGATACAACTAAAATTGTATTTTTAAAGGAGGCTAGATGTATTTTGGATATCAGAACTGATGTAGTAACTTGATGTATTCTGGATATTATATTAGATAGTATTCTAGATGTTAGAACTTCTCTTTATGATGTTGCATTAATATGTTTTTTTGTTTTGTTTTGCAGAGCTATCAGATGATCAATTGACCAATAAGATAAACTTGTGCAATGATATTCTTGAGGTAGCAAACATATTGGAGCCAGGAATCACTAAACTGCGAGGAGTTTTGCTTTACGACATGCAAGCAGCTATGGCTGTCCTGACAAAGAAATTGTTGGAATCAGAAAAAATTACCGCTGCCCAAGCAGATGTAAGTTTAATTACTCGTCTGCTCTCAAAAATTTGATTTCAAAGGCATGAAACTTGTAAATAAAAGGATACTATGTATTGCTCATCTGCAACAGAGCCTGTGCCTGTGATTCAATGTTATAAAACTGAAAGGTGAGGTTCTTGGCCTCTTTGTGGTCCAACTCCCCAAAGCGCTTAACGCCTCAAGCGTTATGCGTTACTCTCATGATTCCATATTATAGGGTAGGATTTGATATTTCCTTTTATTATGTTTCATGTTGTTATATGAGCCTTAATTAGATTTTGTTTGTTGCAGGCATCAATGAGGCAAGTAATTTCAGTCTTACAAGATGCTGCAGTCATACTGAAGACAGATCCAGACTTAGGATACTTATTAAAGGATAAAGTGAAAGATTTGTCAGATTTATGTGAATAAACAGCCATCTTGGCGCCCTTCTGTCATTTTTCCTTTGTTACCTTTATCAAAAGTTTTCTGTGACGGTTTTCCTGATATGTTAAGTTTTATTTGCTTTACTCAGTGTAAAAAAAAAAACATGATAAAACTAGAATATGTTTGTCTTTTGGCCCCGAACAAATTCATGCTGCAATACAACAATTGATGTGACTTATTAAAATTAAACTTGTGATAAATTAGTATTTTCCATTTGTTTTCAGTTATTCCAATTTGGGGCAAATACATTAGCAGGGCTGTCACTATTTGTGGAGATTTCAAGGCTGAAGCCATGGCAACCCTGCCAATGTATTTGTTCTCTAACCATGAATGGAGAGTTTGACGGGATTTCAAACTCTCTGGAGGTATAGAAGTGGACTCTTGCCACAACATAGGCAATTTCCTCCGCTACAGCCTTAGCTTCAGGAGCTTTTTATTGAGCTTGGGAGTTCAATTCAGAGAAAACCGGTGGCACTTTCATGTTCTTCGCAAACTTTTACCAGAAAAAAAGAATTTAAATTGCAAATGCATAAGGTATACAAGAGCTACATATTACAAAAGAATATTTTGATGAAGTTTACCGTTACCTTGCGGAACGATTTTATTTATGTTCATTTTTTTACAAAAAAACACATACAAAAAGAGTGCATCTGCATTAAATTTAGTACGATATATGAAGAAGTCAGCATCATATGAGGAAAAATGCCGAGACAATAAAATTTAAAAATTAGTAAGGGCAAAAATTTACTTACAAAAGATAATTTGTTAATAGTTTCACTAATTATAAGTCATATAACGAGGCGTTGAGGAGAACTTAGCATAGGACTTGATGACTTTATTTACAGCTTCCAAAAAGTCTTTTTCTGTTGCTACTTTTCGTCTTGCTCTGATGGCAAACATTCCTGCTTCAGTACACACAGACCGAATTTCAGCACCTGTTGAAAACAAAGGTCAAAATAATACATAAAAATTTTGTTGGAAAAAAAACCCAGGAACCTCAACTGAAAAAGCTCTTGAAATTAAAACTTGGAGTGAACTTTTGCCACTTGCGGTCTGCAACACCAATCTGAACATGACTAGACCTGTAAAAGGGACCTCATCTTCTGGGAGGAAAATTTTCCTTAATTTTTTGCAAATGGGTGGAGGAAGAAAATCTGGAAATTTTGGTGCACCTTAAACCCTAAAATCTGAAAAGTTGAAAGAAATTTTAGTCCCCGAGTGATTCTTAAGTTGTAAAAAAAGAGATTTAAGTGTTTGCAAAAAGATAAGGGAAATTTCCTCCAAGAAGGTAGGGTCCATTTTCACAGATCCATTCACAAATTTCACAGGAACAGTGAAATCTGCGCTTCTAGAAGTGCAAAAAAGAAAAAAAAAGGAGAACGGAGTTTCAAAAAATGAAAGTTTGGTTTAAGAAACTATTTACTCCGATTGTATTTGAAGTCAGAAACCAATTTGAAGAATACAACAAGGAAGGTGGCCTCAGCGCAATGTATTTTATTAAATTACAGTGACGGCTGCAATTGCTTGTTTTGTATGTGATAATTGTCTATAAGCCTTTGTTCAACTTTATTGGTTAATTTCTTCCAATATGTACCTAATTCATTTAATTTTATTAACGTACTTTTTGCTGTATTTTTTATGTACAAATTTAATGCCCTGAAGATGACACTTGTGTTAGAAAACTTCGGCAATACAATGTAATTTAATAAAATGCATTTCGCTAAGGCCTCCTTCCTTGTTAAATCATTATTATGTGCAACTACCAACATGTTCAAACCTTTCAAAGAGGCAGCTTTAAACATAAAAGAAAAAAGCTAATAGCAACTTACATTGCTGGCTTTGAGTATATTAAATGCAAAGCAGTTCACGCCCTTCTATGAACCCAAATAAATGCTATTGGTTAGGAGTGAAAAAAAATACGAAGGAAAAAATACTCTTTGCTATTTCACATCTTATAAATTTTTATGATAGAACTATGCTGTAGCTTGCCCTGTTATGGACTGAAAAAATATTATGTGGTAACGCACCTGTGCTGTTCGGGCAAAGACGAGCTAGTAGTTCAAAACGAATATCCTTCTCTACGCTCATAGATCGAGCATGAATTTTGAAAATGTGGGTCCGACCCTCTAGATCAGGTAAACCGAATTCGACTTTACGATCCAGACGACCAGGTCGCAATAATGCAGGGTCTAATGTGTCAGGGCGGTTGGTTGCCATTAAAACCTGCACAAAATAAATAAAAAAATATGTCAAGACAATCAAAAGGTCTCATACTTGAAAAGACAAAGTAGCCATTTTTGAGAGAGCGAGTTTGAATATTTAATCTCCATTTAGAAATCAGTTTTGAATCTAATATTTCATGCTGATAAATATTTCTCTGACACAACACTTCTTTTACCAGGGAGAGTTGAAAATTACAAGTAATCTGACAAAAAAAAACATCTGAGAAATAACGTAATGCCTTTTTTATCCTAAGAAGAAATTCTTAGGTCATTAGAGCTTAAAATCTGGGGCCCAATTTTTTTAGGAGCTTATCAAGTCTGTCAACTAAAAAAAATGTTCAAAAATACAATATGCTATGGCGCTGCTTTGATGTTTACAAAAGCACCGCAGCACACAACATGTTAATTTAATAGAGTGCCTACTTTGATAAGTGCAGCAAAAACCATACAGTGAAGGGACATTATTAATTATTGTCACTAAAACTACATTCATTCAGAGGTGCAGAAAGTTTCCCGCCTTTCTCCACTTTTAATCAAAGTTCCCGCACAAAAAAAAGAGAAAAAAACATTTGCACAACAAACACTTATTCACCGCTAAAATGCTGTATTTTGAACAAGGTTGTTGGGTTAGAGTTTCATGGGGGTTCCTCCATTTCACGTTACTAGCACCTGACTGGGCTGGCCACATGGTTGGGAAGTTTCTGCACCCCTGCACCCATTTGATATAAAAATTAAAAAGGATAGGAAAAAAGACTGAGCTATTTACTCCCTCTTTTTCCCCCTACAGTAAAGAAGAGTCACCTTGATATTTCCTCTTGGATCAAACCCATCTAGTTGATTAATAAGTTCCAACATTGTTCTCTGAACTTCATTATCTCCACCTGCGCCATCATCGAACCGAGCACCACCAATTGCATCAATTTCATCAAAGAAAATGAGACAAGCTTTCTTACTCCGAGCCATTTCAAAAAGTTCACGGACCATTCTAGCTCCCTGTAAAGAAAGTAATTGATTGAATAAACAGACATGACAGAAAAAGTTGAAAATACTCTTGGTGACGCTTGCTGAAAAGTATAAAATGTGATGTATCATCCTCAACTTAAATCAAAAGGAATTTTAAAAAAAAATTAATACATTTTTAAAAGATGCAGTCTAATTCAAAACGAAAATATCCCTCTATCAGTATCTCTCTACAGTAAATCTCAGTTACTACTTGCTAGGAAAATCTGGTTGAATTAATTTCAGGTGCATAGCGTTTACTACTTATTCAGGAAACAGCCGATCAGTTTTAAAGGACTGTGCACAAAATACTAAGACATTCAGCAGCAGACAAATTTTGAGATTTTTTGATATGATGTTCCTTACAATGTCCTAAGTAAGATCAACTTTTGAATTCAAAATTTTTACAAGCCAATCTCAAGAAAATCAGGTCTGAAAAAGACATTATTTGGCAGTTTTATATGCATTATGAAGCAGAAAAAAGTAGGTGATCAAGGAGGAAGCTCTTCTTTCCTCATCTTGCACTGGTTAGAGAGATAAAACAGTGAATTAAGTTGGTTAAGAACAAAATAATGGCTCTGCATCTTTGACTCAGGAAGGGTGTCCTTTTTTCATATTATAACAAGAATTAAATTGCTGGAAAATGCACTACATGGACCCAATTTCCTTGAGATTGGTACGTAAAAAGTTTGAACTTAACGCTCATCTTACTTAGGAGCTTGTAAGGAACATCAAATGAAGAAATCTCGAATTTGACCGGCACAAAATTTCTGGGCATTCCATGCATTGTCTTATAACTGCATGTAAAACTGCACACTCATAAACTATGTGTATGTTTTAATTCAGAATTTGACAGTTTCAAAGAACTTCCATAAATAGCCAAATAGCACATTGCAAAAATTGAAATTTAGTCTTGCTCTGATACATACCTCTCCAACATATTTTTGGACTAATTCTGAACCGATAACTCGAATGAAGCAAGCATCAGTCCGATTCGCGACAGCACGAGCACAAAGAGTTTTGCCGGTTCCAGGAGGTCCAAACAGCAAGACACCCTTTGGTGGCTCAATACCTAGGTTTACAAATTTTTCGGGCTGCAAAAAAGAAAGAATTTGTTGAAAGGGATGAAACGATCAAAAAAGTTGAAAAACTCCATAATTAACCAAACCAACCAAAATCAATTACACATCGCTAAAATTTAAGACTGAAATTGAATTTTAATGCATGAATTTATGATTTATGAGCAAAATGCATAAATGTTTCAAAGTGAGCAAGTAGTCCTGAAAAATGCCAGATAGAGTAGACTTGCATTTTTGTTCACGTATACATCCTTTACTTTCTAGTATATGATATGTTTCTGCCTCTTTTAGTAATGAAGGACCAGAACATAAACAAACTGCTGAATTCACTGTTTGAAATATTGTTGTTTTTGATGATCCATCTGCCCAGGCCCTCTAATTCCCAGCACAGAGATCAATCAACACCTGTGTATAAACGATGCTCTTGATTAACATACATTGAGTCGATTGGCAATAAAAATGAAAAGGATTTAGCCACAATGGAGACTTTAAAATTTCAAGCAGAAAAGCAGACAAGAAATACTTATCGTACATGGAGAAGTGGAGTTTCTACAACTTCACGTAGCTTTTCAATTTGCTCTTTGCAACTTCCAACATCATTGTAAGTGACATCTGGCTTTTCTTCAACTTGCATCATAGTGACAGTGGCATCAATCTTTGGAGGCAGAGGAATGTGGATTTGATATTTGTTACGATCCACTCTGTAAAAAAAAAAAGAATACCATCTATAAAATCAGTTTTCCTTTTGGTTTGACATATTCAGTAAAAATTTTCAGAGCAGACACTGATTAGAGTAATGAATGAAATGGGACTAAGAATAACTTGTGTTCAAGCGTTGGCTACGAGAATGGAGAGGCCGTAACTAGTCAGTTCTGCGACGTCAAGCTAGTAGATATTTACCGAAAACAACAAGCATCTCCGGGTCATCAGTGCATCGATGAGGAAGGCAGTCGCTGCGTGGACCAATCAGAGTGGCTCTCGATCGGCCGAAGTTGCGCGAGCGTCCCGTTTGAATCTGAGTGGAGTAACGATTTTCGGTATTACGCATTCATTTCCTCGATATTTAGACAATGTCACAAATGAACTAGTTAGTTTTCTAAAGTGAAATTTCATCTTCTTTCTAAACGGTTCTTATGAAATTTTGCGTCAGATCAACCCTGAAAGAGATATCGGCGAGAAATCATCGCGCGGCAAGCGTTCTCCCATAAGAACGCGTGTTAAACCGCAGCCGAGTTTCATCTACTAGTGTGACGTCACAGAATCGTAGTTACGGCCTCTCCATTCTCGTAGGCAACGGTTCAAGGTATGCTTACTTTTCTTGAAACTACCCCCCTTACACTTAATCCATTCACTCACATTGATGCACTAGCTCATTAAGAGCTTCCAGGCTCTACATACAATATATCAAAGTGATGATAATGTAAAGAGCTCAAATCTGAAAGTCCATTTCAAGGGAGCAAAAACCTAATAACAAATACAGCTATAAAATCTTCATTTTGAAATTGAGTGGACAAATTAGTTTTGAAGGTACATAAGTGAGTTAACTTCAACATTTAGCATACGAGGATACTCTTGAGGTAAAAAAAAAAAAGTTTAGAGGAATCAAGCTGTAAGAGAGTACTCTATTGACGGAGAAACTTCCAGACTACGTATTTACATCATTTGAAAATCTTTGCTCCCAATTTACTTTTTGAAAAGAAAACAAATCAGTTTCATTCCTTGAAGTTCTCTCAGAGTTGTCTTTGCACAGAGGAGAAAAATAATGGAAGTTTTCAAAAATTGAAATTGTGTAGTTTTCTGTTTAAAAAATGAAGTATGGAAGTCTTCAATGTCCGTGACCGAGATACATGGTTAGGTAGTTTCACCGTCGCTATCCTTCTTTCATCAAATCAATGTCTTCATGAATGCCCAATACCTCTACTAAGTATCGTTGAAAGACATTAGCAAAATAGAATAATTTATGATTAAAATAGCATCATGTTCAAAGTCACCTTTTAACTAACACTAGTTAAACTATACATGAATTTGTTACATTGAAAAGTACAAATAGTCCAGCAAAAGGTAATTGAATTTACATACCCTACTCTCATGCCTTCTTCAATATCTGTAGGAGCAACAGAATCCGCCAGATCAACAACAAACTTCGCAAATTGCTTGACATTGATGACATACTTCAAGTCATCTGAATCCACATTGAAAATTTTGGTACATCTGGCAACCTACAAAACAGAATTATCAAAATTACCAAATAAAAGGTCATCTCTTATTCATTGAAGCCATCACAAGCTGATTGATGAATTTGGCTACTGGTTTTGTTGCACAAAACTTCTCCTTCTCACAACAAATCGACATTAACAGACGATATTTTAATTAAAACTTTCAAGAATTGGTATTCAATTAAAAACTAGCAGTTTGCACTGCTTTGTGTTGGACCACTAGGTCTCAATCAGGGCATAAGAAAATTTAAAAACAACCCCCTCCTGAAATAAAACCACTCTAAGCTAATAAGGGGAACTTCCCAAGTTGCCGTCTCCGATCGGGCTGAAAAAATTCGTACGAACTCTTTGGATGAATTTATTAGATCCGGATTTTTTTGTTTTTTCCAATGCCCCCTGGAAACACCCCAAAAAAATTCCGAAAAGTCTTGCTTTGAGCGCTCGAGTCTATGTACGCAGTTTAGCACCACCTTTCTCACATCATGCGATGGCTCTGCAGTAGAGCGCTCGCCTCGTAAACGGGCGGTCCTGGGTTCGATCCCCAGGTGTTGTGTTTAATTTTGACATTCGAATTTCATATTCTCACACATTTTCCGCAACAGCTCTTCACATTGAATCACATTTGATAAACTTTGGACCTTAAAACATCAATAAAAAAAAAATTAAAAAAAAACATCTATACCTCTAATTGAAGATGTTATTGATCATTGATTAAGTTTGTGTTTGGTAATGGTTGTAAATTAATTGATGTTTTAAGTTACAATGTATTAAATGTGATTCAATGTGAAGAGCTGTTGCAGAAAATGTGTGAGAATATAAAATTTGATTGTAAAAATTAATCGCCACGCCCAAAGATTGCACCCGGGACCGCCCGAATACGAAGGGAGCGCTCTACCGCATAGCCACCGCCTGATGAGGAAAAGGAGTTGCTAAACTGTGTACATAGACTCGAGCGCTCAAAGCAAGACTTTTCGGAATTTTTTAGGGGTGTTTCCAGGGGGCATTGGAAAAAACAAAAAAATACGGGTCCAATAAATTCATCTGAAGAGTTTGAAGAGTACGAATTTTTTCAGCCTGATCGGAGGCGGCAACTTGGGAAGTTCCCCTTGTAAGCTAATTAGCAATGTGTGAAAAAGAAATCAAGGTGCTTAAGTGAGTAAAAATTCACCTGTAAAGGCTGTTCACTTTGGAGGATTGTTTTGTCTGCTGCTAAATCCCAGAGTGCAGGGGGAGCAAGCCCTGTGTCTGACTCTTTGATACCACTCAGCTCATTGACTCTCTTGATGATGGTTTGAATATCATCCTCCACTGCCTTGATGCTTTTTGTGTACTGGCCTTGACCCTGAAAAATTAATGACTCTATTAAAGAGAGGCTTGATGAAATTGACAGGTTAAAGCTCCCGAACTATCCATTAGCAAATTTAGTAAAATGTGCTAAAAATAGAATTATGGTTACGAGATGTCGAGACTCTAATAATTGTTAATGGATGTATTTCCTGAATGATCTAAAATATAAATCAATCACAGAAGAAATATTTCTGAGTGTCCACAAGAAGCCTGGACTTAAGTTTTCGAAATATTTCAGCTGAGCACTTTCTGCTAAGTTAATAAAAAAATAAGATTTCTAGATTTTGAAAAAGCGTTATCTGCTATCCAGGAGAATATCAAACATCTGAACATACCATTTAGAATGGTTTTTGGTCAATACTGTTTTTATCAAACTGCACACATTAATCCAAAATAACTGTAAGTTAGTTTGACGCTGTTGCGCCTTTACAGCCCGAAACATTTCACAATACACTTCTCTGTGTTCTGTTACCAATTAACTGTTTTCAGTTTTTGTGACCTAGGGTCCTTTTTCCCAAGGATAATCATAAATGAATAAAATAAAATAAAAAAATGCCAATTCATAAAAAATTAATACTTCACTGCCTCATTTTGTTTTCTGTTTGATTTTGTACTTACAATTGGTTACTACTTACCTACTACACTTATTTTTCGCTTCCTTTGTATTTTTTCGTTCTTTTTTGTTTTATTCATATTTTTGGTTTTATTATTTCCAGTTGTGATCTTATAAACTCCCAATTCGAAAGAGGCCAATACTTTTGAATTACAAAAAGATTCTTCAATTATTTCTTTCTTGCTTTTCTCAAATTGGAAAATTTTAAGCTTTATTACAGCATACTGTGATCTCTTTGTTGTACCTCTACACAGTCAGTAAGTACATCATTCTAGTGTAACGCATTATAATAATTATTTCTGATGAAAGAGGGCACTTTCATGCATCTTATAAATGATTCCTTCCTTTTTAAGAACACATAAATTATCAAAAAAATATGCCAATAAATACATCATGGTTAAAGATAATAAAGAGAGTCATTTCAAACAAACAAGGGACTGCAAATACTTACATATGTTTTTAGTAAAGCAATGTCTCCTTCATCCAAGGCTGCAAAACAGAGAATTAACCTATCAGTAAGTGCACTTGAGACAAAGTTTCAATTCTGATTGAAGAGAAAATTTTTAAGTATGAACCATAAAAAACACTAACATTTACTAATAGCGCTTTGTGAAATTAATTGTGAATTCCTATGAAAAAAAGAACATCAGAAATCAGAGGATGATAACAATCCATATGTAAACTACTGTGAAGTAAAATAACATCTGGAAAATATATTTTCAGGCACCAATTACCTGAAAAAACCAAGGTGGCAAAAATAGACAGCTAAAAGTCCATGTTGAGAATTAGGAAAAAGGGCAATACAAATGTCCTGTTACGGGAGGTTATTCTGATTCATCAGAGAAATGCACTTCCAGATAGTGACTTTGTCTTACATGCCTGCTCAAATCATACCTACTGTAGGAATTACTTGAAGTTATCTAAATTTTTCCTTAAAATGACTTAAATTGTAAGAAACAATTCACTTTACTTACCATCAAAGTAGCTAACTATTAGCAAAAGAAACCGCTTCACAAAAATTATGGATGATGTAAATGGATACCTTCTATAATTTTGGTTTATGTTCTTTTACTTCTCTTATAAATTTGGAGAAATACTAAAAATCATTGTGCTTCTACCTGCTGTTTATGTCTCCGTAAAACTTCAAAACAGATAAGATAAGATCTAAAAATTGCTTGAGTCATGGACTTTTGGATGGTTTTATCTTTTGTCGCACCAACTCAGGCCCAAATATTAGACAAGAGGCTGAGGAAAGATCATCAAGGAAACTGCAGGATCCAAAACCTCTATGTCAACGCTGGACCTGTCATTTTGATTTAAGATAAGCAACTCTTGGAGGAAACATGGGATGTTAAAAGCAGGTAAGGCGCAGATTACGTCCACTCAGTGCACACAGTAATGATTAGACGTGATCATGAGTTTGAGTCAACTTCCTGTTTCACTTACACATCTATCATCTTAGAACTTTTTTCCCATTGCACATGTACAAACTAAATCTAGAAAATTGAGGAAAATTATGAGGAGAATGATTTTTGTTGAGCTGAATGGAAGCTGGGGCTATGACAAAGCAGTTTGTTACCGACTACTTACATTTGACTTCTTTCTCCTGAGGATCTTTTTCATCCTCTTTGGTTTTGCGCATATCATCTCCTAGATAGTCTGGCATTGTAGACTCCCGGGTAAAACACAAAATTTGTAGGAAAAAAGAGAGAATGAAATAGAAGTTGAACTGCAAGCAGAAGAGGAAAGATAAATAAACTGGAACGGAAAGTGAGGTTAGAAATCCATGACCGAAAAACATCAAAAGCTTCAGTTGTTGATTGTTGTTTTTCGTGTTTACAGTTCTGTTTTAGGTTATGTATGTCATATGTCCTTATCTGTTATCAGTTGTGGTTCTCCAATAAGTCTCATGTTTTGATAGTGATAAGGGATGTGACTGAAATTTATTATTTCCTTAACATTTTCTCATCAATTTTACGCATTGTGTCTCTACATCCACTGCGAAGCATCTTACAATTGATATGAACCGATGCAGATTTATTTTAAATACAAACTTTCTTTTCTACCAAGCAGCATGGCGAGGATCATTGTGCCCTGATAACAAGACTGCACTCTTTCCAGAATTTACTCCTTTTTTCAGAGAAAAAGGACACAGTAAGTGGCAAAACATTAGACATCAGAAAGCAGCTAATGATTTACAAAAGTCGAGGACCTTCAATATGTTAATACTCCAGATTAAAAGAGCAATCCTAGGTAAGAACATTCTTTTACGCATTACTTATATTTCAGTGTTAGAAAATTTACCTCTGTCATTATCATTGCAGTTTTTACTCACCTGCTACATATTCCAGTACTTTATCATTTTGATTGAAGATTCTCTACGTATTTTATATGATGTATAATGATGTTCACTTTACTTGTATTTCAGACTTATATCACTGATTACCGATAGTAAACTATCTGGAATCTTAGATGTATGTATACGAGTAATAGACTCTCAGAATGAACAAGCATGAAACTTTGACTTGTCCTTATGCGCAATGTTAAATATTTTCTATCAATTAAACATTCACACCATAAGTTTAATGCTTGTATAAATGTATCTGCTTCAGTCACCTTACAAGTAGCACGTCTCACCCAATTCACGTTTACCTATAAGAAGTATTGGTTCCTATTAACCAGATGCTAGTGAAAGGAAAAATGCAAAGTTGTACGAAAACTTACATTTAGGTTTTCAAACTCAAAAATGTAAGTTTTCCTCCAATCAGTACTTGGCCTCCATACCAGTACTTCTTACAATAAAAAGGGTACTGTCACACGAGTATCTATCAAATGTTTCCCAAATTCACCTGTGTTTTGTTTCTGTGGTGTGAATATTATAGATGGAGGTAGCAACAACCCAGAACATAACTCTGCCTTGGCTAATGTGGTTGCCAGTTGTAAGAGAGCTAATATGCCTGCATCTACAATTCAAAGTGCTCTCCAAGGATCTAAGGTAAGAACTAAAAAAGCCTACAGAATTCATTCCATTTTCTAAAGAACTTCACATCAAGGCCTTTTCTCTCAACTTGCTAAGTGCCACTTCCAAAACAGAGTTCAGTGAAGGAAAAGTATTCAGCCAGCAGGGTAGGTATTGAATTCTGAACTATTGAAGTGATACCCTCTGAACTGTATGAACTGCTGTTTGATACCGAAGATGCAAAAACAAGCATTTAGTAACTTGCTGTAGTAGGGGTATCTTAAAAAAACAAATCATAGAAATCTAAATTAAAAATAACTTTTTGAGTGTAAATGGGCAAACTAAAGAGGAATTATTGTTCATAAACTTAGTAATTATTGTTTGAAAGCGAATTTCTTGTAGAGTTAAGCGAAACACTGAAATCGATTGGCGTTTTTTTCTTGTTCCAGGATAAGCCTTTAACCTCTGCTTGGTTCGAAATGAAGGGTCCGAAAGGAAGTATACTGTATATTTCGGTAATGTCACATCATGTTCCTATCCTGAAGCAAACTATCAAATCACTTGTCAAAAGGACAAAATGGTATTATTTATTTACTTTTTTATTCATAGAAATAGAAATTTACTTGCGAACGCACACAGGAAGATGACCATACATTTTTTCCGGTGAATGTTCAAGGAACTTTTTCAAGTGAAAAATTTCCATTTTAAATATTACTTAATGGAAAATCATTTTAAGTGTATTTTCCGAAGGAAATACACTATTTTACAGTTTTCGGTGGAAAATGTGCTTTCGTATTGCAAAGGTTGAACTTATAAGTGGTTCACTCAATATTTTATTTCTTTAAAGACCACTTAAACGTACTTAGTTAAATTTCAAACACAGTGGGGTAAAACCTTAAATATCTCCCTTTCAAATCAAAGTGCTTAAATTCCTAACTTCAAACCATCGAGACTCTGGTTTGCTTGTATTTTCAAAGATGTATCTTAAGTTAATAGGTGTCATTCTTACACCACTTCTGCCTATTTGTTCTTAAATTCATCAAAGAATTTTAGAGCCAATTATAACTTCATTTTAATCAGTTGAATTGTATCAACAAGCAGGCGAACAGGGCCGGGTTAAGGGTAGGGCCACATAGGTCGAGGCCCATGGCAGCAAATTTTGCGATTTTTTCAACTTATGTCTGATGAAAAAAAAAAATACAAACAGGAAAAAGCGGCAAAAACTTTATTTACCGAGAGTAAATATGTAGTAATTTCTAATTAAGTCGTCTTTCGGTGGTGCGCTGGTGCATACAAGAGGCAGCAGCTTTCATGATCCGAGTGTAAGAGAGAAACCGAAAGCGCAGTTTGGTAAGGAGGACTTCAGAGAGAAAGGAGAGGCAAGAAGCCCTCGGCGCGGCGGCGCAGCACTACGCCGACTGGCAGCGGATTCCTCCCCTCTCTCATGAATTCGTAATTTCCCCTCTCCTCAACCGCCTTCAGTCATCAGATAGAATTAGTTTCCAACATGAAAAGCAGAAAGAAATTTTTTTAGATGTAAGTATTCTGATCATTGCGGAAGCTAAAATTATTAAACTAAGTACAATCACGTTTCTTTTTTTTCAAAATTTTTTCATTTATTTCTATTCAAGTAACTTACGGAAGGCCTGCTCTAGTTTACAGAACTTATTTTTCACGCGTAGTTCCGTCAAATTTTGCCAGTGCGGACAAGGCTTCCACAAAAAATGCGCCTAACACAGGTAAAAGCGTCTTATGCACCCACCCCTTCCTCCCCTCTGGCACGACTATTTATTGGTTCTTATTGATGTTTTAAAACGAATGATAGGGGGGCAGCAAAATACAGGCGGCCTATGGGCAGCAAATAGGTTAATCCGGCCCTGCAGGCGAAGAGTAAGACCAAGTATAAATACACCCCAGTTCCCTACGCATTTTCTTACCTCATTTTACCTATTGCATATGTTAAAAGGCCCAACCAAATGTATTTTTATTTTTAGTCCTGTAGAATTCACAGAGAGGATGGCGAAAGGAATTTTTGAACACAAAGGGATTATTGTAGCTGAGCCTCCACCTGATGTAAAAAATATTGAAGAAATCAGCATGGATCATGCAATTGAAATAGGTGCTGAAGAAGTTGACCCCATAGAAGATACAAATCTCTTAGAGGTACGTACGCGTACCAACTCTCTTTTAATTTTCCCAATGGACTGCTCAGTGTTAGTCAAGAGGAAGTCATGGCTTTTTTCATTTCTATCATGACCTTACTTTTTGCATGTCCAAAATTCAAAATTAACTTTATCTTGAGGTATACCTGCTTTCTCCTTTTACTTCAAAGTAAATATTTCCTTAATGGTTTTCAGGGCATGCTTAAAATTCTAATTTTTTGTCTAAAAATATTCCATAATTGCTCTCATTCTATATGTTTGATGTCCAGTTTGTAACCGCTGCAAGCAGCTTGTACAAAGCTCGGATGGCGCTGGAAGAGAAAAAGTATGTCATCAAAGAAGCGGAGTTAGTGTACATACCCAGAGTTATTGCTGAATTGGATGACGAGGAAGCTAAATTGTTGCAAGCTCTGCAAGATGAGATTGAGAAATTACCAGAAATTGTTCAAATCTTTAGAAATTTTTGAAATCAAGGTGAGCTGACTCATCTTTTTATTTTAGGTATGAAAATCAATATTCCATGTGGCTAAAAAAGTGTTTTAATTTGTTTGAAGCATTCTTGAATAACTATTGAACTTGTCATGTCCATCAACTTATAATGCTCCGACAAAATTTGAATACTCTTGAAGCATTACTTATTTTGCATATTTACGAAACATTATGACATTTGGTCATTAGGTGGAGGAGAAAGCAATTATTTCCGGCAATCTGTATTATGAATAAATTTGTATGCATAGAGAAAAACAAATGATTTTCCCTACTTTTTTTAAATGTTCAACAGCCCTTGCAGATATCTTTTTTGAACTGAACACATTTTTACATGAATAATTTTATTCAGTTTCCGAATATTTTAATAATTTTTAATAAGTTTTCATTCTTGATGCAAAACCCGGTGGCTCAGCATATAGATGAAGCATATGAGGATATGTGCTTCTTGAAAAGTCCTAAACAGATTATTTAAAAATGTAGGTATTAAAATTGAAGATTAACCGGTTCAGGAATTTCAATCTTGAGAATTTCTGACTCCAAATTTCACCGATTTTTCTTCTGATTTCATGCAAAATCAGACAAATTTTTGACAAAGATTGCATGTGTACATTCTTGTAAGAAATTGAATGGTTTGAGTCAATTTCGCAACCTTGAAATGGACTCATGTTTCTTCGTCCGAGAAACGACACTTTGTCTTTTCGTAAATGCCTCTCCAATCTTCTTTGGCTCACCACATCATGGCTTGCTGCAGAAGTTTGGGAGGGTGGTCACAGAGGGGACACTGAGTTCTCTCACCAAAAAAAAAAAAAAACAAAACAAATTGTTAAGATTTTAAGGTGATCATTTCTGTTATTAACTGTGTATATGTATAGACTTTTGTTAATGCATTATTACAAAATACAACATTACTTAATGAAGACATTATGAAAAGTTAAGAAAACTAGAGTTGTTTGTTAGCTGCCCCTAAACAACTGAGACCTAAGTAGTGCAGTGCAACGTAAATATTCAAATGAAATTGCGATTTAATAAAATGAAAGTGCAATTTTTTCAGCTTAAAATTGGAATATTTTTACATCATTTAGGCAATAAATGCCGATTTTAGACAATCACCAAGGTGACTTCCATAAGTCAGAAAGATAGAAAATTTGTAATGCAATGAAAAATTCCAACTTATTTCAATTTCATTGAAGGAAATTTCAATGAGAAGTGTCCTTCCAGTGAGTAAATAGACAACATGCACAACCCTCTGATAGAGAAGCAATAATTTAAGTGTTTAACATTTCATCGCAACCCACGCTATCTGGGGACTGATTCTGTAACTTCTGAACTAAGGCAGCGCTAGAAAGCTCATCTTGGTTGCATTTGAAGGAACGACTCATTTTCTAAGAATAACTCAAGTTAATTAATTGTTCGAAAGTTTGCAAATTTATGAAAGTAAAAAAAAAAAAAAAAATTACCTTATACCATTTTTGGCATGTATTTTCCTTCCCAGAGAAAGTTCTTCCAATACTGTTTCTTGAAACTTGAGCAAACTTGGCAACATAAAAATGACTTGGTAACTTGGTTTTTTATAGTGTTTATGGAGTCGCATGCATTTTGATTCACAGGATCAGTTTCAGTGGAGTAGGAGACATTCAACTACTAAGAGATTTCTGCTAAGCATAAGTACAGAAAGAGTGAGGTATACTAAAGTAAATTTTTAGTAATTGTTTGATTATTAAAATGCCTTCTACATGCCTTAAGATGATCCTTTGGATCGAAATGCATTTGGTTTAGTTAACAGCATAAAAATTGCATCTATTGGCATAGTCTTTCAACCAATTCATGGAATACTAGATGCAATCTTCACTCCTTTAGGAATTTCTTTATTTCTAATTAATTTGAGACGCTACCAGGTTTTTTATTTTTATCTCAGGACAGAAATAATAAGAAAAGAACAAGTTGCTAGCAAATCAAATTAAATATAATATCTACATTTACAGTTTAAGATGAAAGGGATGGAAATCAACACAACTTTTTGGTCTCAAACACTTTTGTCAGTTTATTTTTTGTCGAAAAGCTAAATTACAATTTAACGAACATGCATAGACTTTGAATTCATAAATTCTCTTAAAATATCCCAACAAAAAATACATAGAATATTGATTTTTACACAAAAAAAAAAAAATGAAAAAAATTAGATCACATAATACACCAATGGCTAAATTTGAGAACCACGAATCTCATTTTATGGCGTTGTAGATTTTGCATCATTCTTTGTTTCTTAATTGGAGAGCTAATGAAAGAGATATCTTGCAAATTTTCATGATTTTTTCCTTCCTTTAATTAGAGTGGTGCATGTCGATTGTTTTTACTCTCTTCAAAGAATATTCTGGGAAAATTTCAAGAAATAAAGTTGACTCATTTTAAACATTATGACAAGAGAGGAAAATTTACAACACTCAAATTGAGATACATGGCTCTCAAGTTTGGTCATGGACACTTGTCAACCATCAACTGATGAAGTTTTCTCACTTCCTGTTCAAAAACAAAGGCACAGGATGAAGATTTTTGTAGGAATTGCATTGGACAAATACACATTTTATGTGTAGAGACATTAAAGGAGCCTCCAAGCAAACCATTTATGTACAAAAGATGATTATTCAAATCAATCAATAATTAAATTACAAATTGTGTGGTACATACTGAACTTTCAAACTATGTGGAAGGTGCTCAGCATCTGGAATTTTCAAAGTAAAATAAATTTCAGGGATCAAAAAGTTGAGCTAGGCCCCTAATACTGAATCAGGAGAAAAATTTAAATTCATAAGAAACTAAGGAATAAATGAACATCAATGGAGGATAAGAGTACATACTAGTTTACTCAACTTACTTTGTGATAGGTGATAGATTTCCTTCAATGTTTAGATACATAAGTTAGTTCACACATTAAAAATTAGGGCAGCTGAGCAGGATACTTTTGACTGGTTGCAGGATGTTAAAGTTCATTCTCTATTTTACTTTAGCCTGATTTCAAACCTCCAATTGATTCAATATTTCTTGATGGACCAAACATGTTCTTGAACAATTAAAGACTGAAAGTACCTAACCATCAAAAGGAGATGTGTGGGGTTGGATTTTTCGCTGGCACCTATGTGCATTGCGTTATTAGACCTTACAAAGATATCACAATTAAAAATATCAGCAAATATTAAATACACACAATGTTATGAAATGCAGGTTTCATTTTACACTCGTGCACCGAACTCTTATTTACAAGTAGAGATCTCCTCATAAAAGGAACGTTCAAAAGATAAATAATTAAATAAATATGTAAGTAAATAAAAAAGATTTCTCCTAATAGGAGGTGGTTTACTGTGAAGCACCTAAATCAAGAAAGTAACACTTGAAATTATGATCATATTACTAGAAGAATACTCCAGTTAAAATTACTGATACACTTTGAATTCCACATTCAAACACAGAATGAATTAGAGATAGCGAGCACAGCCCAAAAAAATCTTCAAGAACTTACATCTTATAAAATTCTGAGCTACATATTTTATGTGGTTCGAAATTACTATACTTTTAGTGTTTTTCCCGGAAAATTTTAGAATACAACAGATTAGGACATAAAATTTCTCAAAAAAAGCAAATAAACAGAAATATATTAATTAAAAAGGAAATAAATAAATCCACAATTAAACACATTCGGAAATTTCCAACTGAGCGAGTAATTCATCAACAAATAATAGATAAAGGAAATGCTCATTCATGCTTTCTGAATGACAGGACAAATTTCAACAATCTATAAAAAGAACAATATCTCACAAAATCATGTAGCACTTTCAATACATTACGAAACACTTTGACACTCAGGTGAACAGATGGTGAGACTAGTAAACCTTGTGTCTCAGTCTTCAATGTTGCAAATTTCTATTATTTCACTTCTCTTAAAAGGAAGAAAAGAAACTTCATTTGATTTGAGAATCTTTGCTCAACTTGTCCTTTTTTATTATAACATTTTAAGTAAAAACATACGAAAGTTTCCTTCAGAAATAATTGGGAGCAAATAGAAAAAACAAGAACAGGAATTACAAAAAATAGCAACTGAGATGCAAGGGCTCTTAGTTTGAACATCAGTGAAAAAAAAAAAAAAAAAACAAGGAAAATAAGATTTTACTGACAAAAGAGAAAACTAAAGAGAGAATGAATGCATAGTACAAATCATCATAAGCATCGGAAGATCCGGCAAGTTGGCAAAATTGTTTTCTGCCTATTTAAAAAGATTGAAATAAATCAACTCTAGAAGGGGCCACATGCCTCGACAAGAATTGATTATTCAACACGGCACAAATGGTGAAAAACAAATGTTGCCAACCTGCTGGATCTGCCTCTGTTCACAGGATATAATTATTACATAAATTAAAATGATTAGGAATAAATGCAAATAAATAAAATAAAATAAAGGTATAAATGAAAAATTAGGCAAATCATAAGTCTTTATTCATGGAATGTCTTTGCGGAATGAACAACTGAAAATGCTAAAAAACTGTTATTACTGATCACCGGCGTGATAAAAAGCTGTCTGATTGTACTGTTTGCCATGATTTTTCTTTTTCTTTTTTTTAAAAATAGAAAGAGAGATTGTGAAGGGAAAAAAATGCGGGAAACTATAAAGTCACTGAGGTAAATATACGATGATTGGTGAACATCTAACATACCTACGTTTTTCCTTTCGATGATTCGCAAAAATTTGCAGTTGTAATAAATCACAACAAAGGCAAGTAAAATGCATGATTTAGCCAGTCTTCTTGGACTGAGAGTTGTTGTTAGATTTAAAGTCTGGTCAAATTAAAGAAAATTAATTTTGGAATCACAATTGAAAAATAAATTATAAGAAGATATGAGTTAAAGTTGGTCTGGAATCTCTATAGACGTTCTCTAATGGGAGTTCAATGGTAGGGAACTTTATCAAACTAACAGAGAACAATATTGCTTTTAACACAGAGTGTGAGCATACTGTTCAATCAGAGCCGTAAAGTAAACTTAAAATCTTACCATTTGCTTTCACCATTATGCTCTGAAGAATGATGACCAGCAATGCCATCAATTACCCTTAATACAAATTAAACATGGATTTTTTTTTATTCTTGGACACATGCACAAAGCGATTAGACTTAACTGAACCAAATCTCTCCATTGTGAATACCCATTCAGAGCGGACAGCCAGAGCCTTCAAACAGTGACTAATTAGCAATTTACTGCTTTCCAAAGAGAGAGAGAGAGAGAGGGGGGGGGGGGGGGGGGGGGGGGGGGATAAAAAAGTTCCATAAAAAATTACAGACCTAAAACTGCTTGAAGTTGAGAATATCAATCAACAGTAATAAAATGTACAGAGGGTCTACATACGTAGATTGCACATGAGTTACAAAAGTATTGAAATTAAAAATTACTGGTCCATTTGAAGTCTGGATGTAGAATCTTGTGACTCAACACTGCATTGGCCTTCGAGGCAGTAAATTATACTCGTAATGTTATAAGTGCTACATTTATGATTCATTTAAAAATAGAAATCATGAAAAACTGCCTCCACTGAGGTTTCCAAATCCCCTTTAATGATAATAATCACAATGATATAATGCGGACAGCTCTTTTTTAAATGCTCCATGACTGTTAAAGAGTATAATAGGTGAGAAGAAGTGCTAGAATCTGTGAGAAGTCGAGTGCATAACTTTAAAACGGCATCTTTTAAAGATAGATTTCCTTTAGAGTCAACCAGGTAGGCAGAATAGTTAACCACAAGTCATAAATTAATCATGCATCCGGTTGAAAGTTGACAGCCAGTCATAATTAACCTTTACATTTTAAAAGACTAAACTGTGGTTTCCTGTACAAAAAATGGATTCTTTTAAAGTATCCAAAAAATACCGGCTTTATCAACATAGAACAGTGCTCCTCTTACGTTTGATTATATTTTTTTTGTGCGATCTGCAGGTCGAATGTATGGCTTGCCTCCATGCCGTTCCCACTCCTTATTGAATTCATTTTCTAAGATTTCAGCTCCTCTTTTCCTCGTTAATCCGGTCTCTTCTAGGCTGAGCTCACACATCTGCATGTCATCCATACCTAGAACATTGTAAATTTTTAAATAGAATAGAGTATGTAATTTCATTTATGAAAGCTGGGTGATACTGATATAATGAACCACTGACCTCTGTAAGATATTAAGCTCCACAAAGCTTGATAACAATGGAACCGAAAAAATGGAAAAGAGCAAGGTAACAAACTGCGAGTATCAAAACTGAGGTTAAAACAACATAAACTGTAAATACCTGAGATATTAAACTTAGAACTCACAAAAAATGAAATAAAAAATGCCTATGCGATGTGGGCTAGTTGGAAAAAATGAAGGCTGTTTTACTTGATAAGAGTATAGGAATTTCGCCTGAGCACCAACCTGCAATGAGAAGAATTGGAGGTTTGTCCGGATGCAACTCCATCTGACGTGCAACGTACTGACCATCAAAATGTGCATACCACCACCCTCTCTTATTACTATCGAGAACTGCACCGTTATTTTGGTTGGCTGGTCGAATAAATGGAATGCGGAAGTAGCGCTGCGAACTTTGAGTGGTAATAGCTTTCGCTTGAGTTCGGGGCACTTTGCTTGCTGTAAAATAGAATTAGAGACTGTCATTAAAGCTTTGATGAAATAATTCCTTCAAGGTTATTCCCTAGTAAAAGTGAGGCATTGTGACATCACTCTGATGTCATAATGACATCCACTATGTGTTTCATAAATCAGTGTGATGTCATGGTGATGTCCGCTGAACACAATGCCATCACAGTGTCATCATAGTGATGTCTGGATGGTCAGAATTATGTGAGAGATAGATATCGGAGTGAAATTTTTGAGATTTGTTCCATAAGCCATTGTGATGTCTCAATGACAAGGTCATTATGCTCCACTTTTACCAGGGTTAGCTGAAGAGCGAAAGTAAAGTATCCTAGACTCAACAACCCCCCCCCCTTCCCCAAAGAGGGCAGACCTAGTTGTCCCTCAAGACAAATTTTTCGCGATCACGCTGAGATTTTTCAAAATTCCAAAATGTTCGATAAGTCTTGCTACAGTGAATTTTTATGTTAATAAATAAAGTACTTTCAAATTTTCCAAAATAGTTTGATGCTTATCATATTTTTTCACCTCCCTACGGGTTTAGAAAGTAGTTAAAATTAGAAGTTCTTTATTAAAACTGATCATATATCGATGGTAAACTTTCAAATGACGTTTCTCGGTTTGCAACATTGCAGACTTCCTGATATGCTTTACTTTTTTAAATGGAAAGTTACTCAACGTCAAATCTTGGACACTTCCATGATTTTTCTACTCCAAGTGGAGAAAATTCTGTGAAAACCTCATGGAATGATGTTTACTTGCTCCCCTCAAAAAAGTGACACAAGTGTAGGTTTTGAAATAATGCAAACGAGATCCGTGGTTTGGCAGTTTCACCGTCGATATTTATTCCAGCAGCAACTAAACTGCACCTGAAACATACACAGAGCGAAGGCAAGGATCTACTAATTAGGAACAGAACTTATAATTTTCACATGCTTTGCCTTACAAATAAAGGGATATAAAAAAATTATGTATAAAAATTAAGTTACTGAATATATGACCATACCTGCATCCATTACTGATCTGGGAGCACGTTCATTTTCATCCATTGTTGTGCGCCTTCGATTCTTGGCTTTCCATGCATGGTACACTTTTAACCGGCGGTGAAATTCGATTCGGCAAGCCTAAAAGAAAGAAATAAAAACATTTTCATGAAAGGAAATCATTGAGAGGAGAAAAAATACAGCCCTCCCCTGTACATATTACACCAAGTAAATTACCTGTGTACTGTGCATACAAAGTTTTCAAGTAGCCCCCCTCTCCCTTGCCCTTCCTTAGAAGGAAAACATTTTTTTAAGCCTTTTAGATTTGGCTCCTTAATGGCATTTACTTTGAAACCAGGGTGGAAGATCTTGGCATACCTCGCATTTGCTTTAAGGAAGGATGCTTACATAAGATTTTGTAGTTTCGAAGGAGTATATTATATTGGTCAGGATTTTTGTTGGAGAAAATATGGATAGTCCAAGAGTACCCACAGTATTGACTGGGCTTTTTAAGACTGGACCCCAACTTAAGTTGCTTATGCTCATTTTTCATTTATGGCTTTTCTGAAACCAGTTATAAAGAGTGGCAGATATTTGGGCACAGATATTGGTTGTCAAAAGGTCTCACATTTAATAAAAGAAAAAAAAAGGGGGGGGGGTTTACAAACTGAGGAAATAACGTACCTCCAATAGTTCGATATCACAAGATGTATTTATAGTATCACGTAGCTCAGAGTACTTCCACTTTGATAAATCATACTTGGAATTACTATTCAATTGAGACCTCAAAGCATCAGCTCTGTAAAAAATTAAGAGCATGTTTAGAAACTTTAAACACACATATAATAAACAACAATTAATAGAACAATCAACTAATACTCCAACTTATTATCCCGGTACCAATTTTAACTGATATTTTTCTTAACGGCTTAGGGGCCAAAATACAAGTGTTGAGAAAAACAGACAAAAATGTGCCATTCGGTGAGCCAAATTTCATTGGGAATTCTCCAGACACATCCATTTTTTGGGCTAAAAATACTGAGTGCACGCTGAATAGCACAGTTTTTATGTTCTTCTTGAAACTTGGATTTTGGCACTTGGGCGCTTAAAAATAATATTGGTTTGATTTTAGTTTTGATTTTAGGCTTGGTTTTCTTAAATTTCTTTATTGCAACACTAGACCGTTCTTGAAGGAAATAAGGAAAAGACCGATAGAATTAGGCACGAAGAACGAACAAGAGAGCAACAAAATTCCTCTTAGGTATGAGAGTAACAAAGGTAGAGTAATTAAGTAATCATTCGAAGAGAATTATTTGCAGGAAAGTGCAAATTAATTGAATACTTCTGCGTGAAATAATTGGGATAGCAAATCACCTTTAGAAGAAAGCAAAACAAGGCTAAATTGGAATTTCTTAAAAAAATTTTTAAAATGAATCAACAAGAGGGGAGCCCCAGAGAAATTCCTTTCAGCACGTACAGTATGCTTTTTGAAAGACAGGAATGAACATGAGGAAATATTGGCAAGTTAAAAAAAAAAAAAAAAGAAGTGGTGCAACTTCTGTCTGGGTTTGCAGCCAAAGAAATGCATTTTTCAAGGAATTTGAAAACAATACAAATGCCATACATTTAAGAGTAACATCATCGAATATTTGAGACGTAATTTCTATTCTCAAATTTGACATAATTTTCAATGCAGGAGATCCACTTGAAGGAAGAGGCAATCAGAAATTTGCGATAATATTGAGGTATCTTTGCTCTTTTAAAAATTGTTGATTTCAAAGGAAAACTTTGGTTTGTACTGAATATTCAAGCTTTCATAAACATCATCCAAGAGGAGCAGATTTACTTTTGAAAAACTAGTTTTTAAAAGCTCCAACTCCGTTCATGTGACTCATCAAGTTATATACTTTAGACATTTAATGAATCAGGCACCGAACATAAACCTGCCAGTATCAATAGAGGGAAAAATATACAAATATTATACATAGGGGGGAGAAAATGTGGGCATATAAATACAGCTTCAAAGATTTTAGGAGTCTTCAAAATCCATGTTTGTAAATGGGAATTCTCCCAGTGCAGAACCATGTCAGGCATGTTTTCAAATGGGCAAAACTTTGTACTTCCACATGAGTGTATGAAAAGGATAGATTTAGAATTAGATATGTGTGTTCATGTAGATGTGATCAGTCATGGAGGAAGGACGCTCAATTAACAACTCATTTAACTGTGGTCAAATATAAGGAATTTCAGCCTTTGATGAGGGAGAGGGCAGCTTAAAATATATGCAATTATCATCTGGGTTTGCTGATAAAAAGCACTCATCCTGAGTTCATTCAAAAACTTTTCATTCTTCATGAACGAAGCAGCGCCCTTTTCCTTTGGCTGATCACAAGTATTTGCCTCATAGTGCACTTGGAATTTCTGGATGCATTCCGTAAGTACAATTTAAATATAAAACAAGGGACTATCTACAGAGTTGCTATCTTCTGTTAGCTCTGTTCAGTTGTATCTGGTAGCCCGATCAAGAATCGGTTGCGATTACTTGGCTTGAAATCACTGCGTATGCACTGGTCGAGAGAAAGGTAAAATGAATCTATGAATAGATTTTGACAAAAAAAATATCATGCAAAGAAAAAGGTACCTGTTGAGCTGATTTAATGAAGCTGAATTTGAGATTCGGCCATCTAGTAACCTGCCACCAAGAAGATAAAAAAAAAAAAATTATTTGCAAATGTGTACAAAATCAAAACATGTATTTGCAGGCGCTCAAGCATGCACATAAGACACAGAAGTGCTTGGGCAAGTGGATAACTGCTCAATTTTGAAACTTTCAATCCAGTGAGATCATCGAAGCAAAAAAAAAATTATGAGAGGTCCTTCAGCATGACACCATCATCCTCTTCCTTTCAAAATTTCAAAATAATATTTTCTTCAATGAATATCACCTGTGACCTCTCACATTTTGATTGAATATTTTTACTCAGAGCTATTTGACCAAAAATAATTTTAAATGTATTTAATAGTAAGTATTTGAAAAATAATAAGAAGTCTTTGATAAGTTTGATCCCATAAATTCGTTATTGCCTGAAGCAGTGTTTTCAGTGCAAGACTTGAAGCTTTGGAGCAAAAAATAAAAATGAGTCATAGTTTTTGACAAAGACATAAAAATTTTGACCAAGATTCATCAAAAAACTCAAAACACCAATTTCAAAGTAAACTTTCAGCTTTATGCAGGAAAACCATCACAAAAGTTGTGAGTTGTTTACTTTTCATCTGTACATAGAAAAAGCAAACGTCTGTCATTGTACCTTGTGCTTCATAATATCTCTCATAACAAATCTTCAACTTTTCCTGTAATATATGGTTCCTGTATGGTTTTTTTCTGTTTTTTTTTCTGATGTTTCAAGTGCTTGCTCCAGAGAATTGCAACATGCATAAAAAATTCAAACAAATAAAAAATGCTGTACAAGAGAAGAGATATGTACAAATGCAGTCGAGAAATGGGTCTCCGGCAAGAGAGCAGTATCCTTGATGGAAGTTTCAAATCGCATATATCTTTAATCAAACCATGCATTAGATTTACTAATGATGGGGCTTCTACATTTTTATAACTGATTAAGAGTACAAACCGCTAAAAAACACCGCCACACCGATGCTTGAGTAAGTTAAATCAGTAAAAATTTACAATTGCCTTGGAAAAAAGAACTCTATCTTGTAGAGGCTTCCAACAGGTTAATTAAACGATGCACATAACCATAGCTTGAGTTCTTCTTGGCCAACATTGTCGAACAAGCTTGGTGATGTCAATGTTCAGATTTTCTGATCTTTCTCTAATTTATGCTACTATAAAAACTTCTGGAAAGGTTTTTTTCTGATTTTTTTCTTCTTTCTAAATATTCCATTGAAAAAACACTCTTCTGCTTGAAGTTATCCAAATGTGCCACATTACATATGTGCACTTTGATGACACTTCTCTTTTAATATTTACACCATTGAATTGGAAAAATTGGTAATTATTTGTATGAAATGCAGAAATAGTAAGATTGATTTTTACACGAAAATTCACAGGTGATGTGCAGTGGCATGTCTTGTAGATTTACAGTATTTAACAAATTAAAGTACACAAGTTTGAAATAAAATTACAACACTGAGAATCTTTCCTGGATAAAAAAAGACGTGCCTATTCAAAGGAAAGAACCAGAAAGCGTGAATTTTTACTAATCCGAGAAAAGCATGTATAAAACACACAATTATATTATAATAAGATATACCAACAGTACCCAATTGCTGATGCAAATTTGCAGATTTGATGCAGATTTGCTTTGCATCTTAGGATCATTTTATGTGCTAGTGCAGTAATGATTCAATGGACTATCTGCTTTCACTGAGTTTGTCCTTGAATTTTCCTTGAAATTGTGTTTCCCTCTGGACATTTTCATTTTGATTAAGTGCACCAATTTAAGACAGAACAAATCTATGAATTAAAACCAATGTTCCCTGGCGATTGGCGGAGCACAGGCAACAAAGAGACGCTGAACCCAAATCAATAAGAACTAACCTTGCTTGTGGTGGAGATATGTCATCTATAATACCATTGCTTTCTGCTGCTAATCGTAAGGCTAATTCATGATCTCGGCGCTCTTGCTCTATTTGTTCTCGCCTACGAGCTGCATCTTTCTCCAGTTCAGCCTAAGGAGAAAGAAAAAATATTAGTCCATACATTTCATTACAGTACTCTCTCTCTCTGAAATAAATCAGCAACCGACCGAATGACTTTCTTAGAGAAATTTTTTATTATGACGAATGGCGCTTATCGAAAATACAGAGGCATGCGGAGTAGACAAATTCATCAGTATGAGGAAATTTTTGTTTATCGTTATAGTATTGTTATAGGAAAATAGTACTGAATGATTAAATTTAAATAATTATTAACCATCTAGAACAGGCTAATTTACAGGGAAAAAATAGAAGAAAACACTATTAGAGTGTAAAAAATATAGTCTCTCAAGAGGGCACGAACTGACTGTATGCTATTTCTTCAAAAAATGCTTTAAATTCTCATTACCAACTGATTTTGACTTCTGTAAAGTTACCAGTCCTAACTACCTAGAACTAAGAATATGAAAGGTACGACAATTCTTTGCAAAACCAAAAAATTATGTATAACTGACCTGGATAGCAACTACAGTTTTTTCGTCTAGATCATCCATTCTTCTTTGCTCCTCTTCCTCTACCTTCCTCCTATGCTCCATTTCTATTTTCCTGAAATTAAAAAAAAAAAAAAAAACTTTGGATCAGTATGAAGTAAAACTTTGTTATTGAAATAAAGAAAAAAATGGAGTAATTACCTTTGAACTTTCACTGACACCATGCAAAATAATTGTATTTGGGTTCCAATTCACATACAGCATTCGGAACTTAGCAAATTTTGAGAATTTTCTTGTCTTGCAGAGTTTTGTATGGCATACAATAAAGGCAAAAAATGGTCGGAGAGGCAGAAAAATAAAATCTCGATTGTATTGCTCATGAAAATATGAAAAGCAGTTAACTGCTATACTTTTCGAAGGCACTAGAATTCATAAAGTATAATATGTAATGAATAGAAAACTGGAAAGAAATTGTACTTACATTTTTTTGCTAGCTTCTTCTTCTACCTTTCTTTTCTCTTCCTCCTCATTCCTTCTTTTCTCCATGTCCATTTCCTGTTGAATCTTCCGCAACCGCTGTTGTTCATCAGCGCTTTTTTGTGCAGTAAGTTTGTTTTGCAACTGTCCCATTAGACTGTTCGATTTATTCATCAAATTTGTGTGCAAGGCAGCAATTTCTTCAGGTTTGATCCCAGGATTGGTCTAGAGGAAAGTGCAAAATGAGAAAAATTACCGTCCCCTGATATGTTGACTAAAAAGTTGAATCGAATTTTGGAATTTTTGTAAAAAAATTGGCTGTGAAATATTACCAAAACATCCTCTTTGCATTAAAGCTTGTGAGACTTTTTCTGAGAACATTTTAACTGAATATCTGATAGACAGTTTCTTTCTGCTCATTCAAAATTAGAATCTGAGGCGATGAGGTAACTCACGAGGAGCACTACGCTTGTTGTTTTCCAAACTAAAGTGTTATTGAGAACCAGCCCGATACTCTCATAGTGCACAGATGTAAGCAATGAAAATACCTATCACAGATACAGACAATTAAAATAAATCACACTTAAAATATTTCTTGCATATATCCGCATTACATTGTACATACATATATGTTTGTTGGTATGTATCTAGCACATGCTTTACTTGGTGCGTCAATTAATTGTACGCAGCATTTCTTAGGTTTTGAATTACTTGCCCACAGGTGCAGGGGATATTTTTTTTTAGTTTCTGAGGGATTATAAGAAAATTTTTTTATATTTTTTATCCTAGAATATCTGTAGATGATGAGAAAACGCAGTTTTATTCCTCAAAAGTCACAAAAATACCTGAAAATTAAGAAAATGCCCATAAATTTGTGATGACATATCCGACAAACCCATTTAAACTTCAAAATTCTGCAAAACTTTCAAGGGTTTCAGAAATTTGCTACATACATACCTCTTTTTTCCTGCACTCCTGTTTAGACTTCAGTAACGTAGAAAGTTACAGTGTAAAATTTGATAGAATGATGCATGACACTTTAAGGTAACTTGTTATCGACTAATTTAGACTACATTTTTATTACCTCAGTTTTGCCTCCCAGCTTGCAAGTTTTTTTATTTGAATAGAGATGGTAATGAGTGAAAAGAATTATTGAAGAGATAGGGAAAAATAAATAAGCGCATACCTTAATTTTATTCACAGCATTTCTCATATCCATTTGTAAGTTTTTAACTTCTTTCATACTTCCATCATCCTTTTTCAATTGTTGAACAAGAGCTTCCATTCTTCCAAGCATTGACTGTAAGCTATTAATTTTCATTATACCTCTATAACGAGGCCGATGCCTTTTCTTTGCTAAATACATTCGAATGTTCTTCTGTATGGTAATATGACAACTTTGACGATACAGAATTTTGTTTTTCACTGGAATAAACAAACATGACAGATTAGAAAAACTAAGAGAAAAATCATGGAAGATAAAACTGTTGAAACAGTCATACATAGGCTTAAACTAAAGCCAGTCGATAAGACTGGAATGACAGACAACGCTTTCTATGGGTGACTATACTAAGTTCACTGATTTACTACAACCAAAATTCAGAGTGAGTACACTTGTGTAAACAAAACGATTAAAAACTTCTGGAAGAAACAGCACATAACTGAAATGATAGACTCAAAAGATTCTTTACTCTTTACAGCAACTTCAAAGAGAATGATCCACCTGATAAAAGCCTGAACCCAAAAGAATTAAAAAGAGATTGCTCATTTTTAAACTAGATAGAGACCATAAACTTGCCCTCATACTCACATTTAATGACGGACAAAGCACACCACTGGGCCTTCTTCCACCGAGATGCCAACAGCCATTTCTTCACTTTCTCAACCATAGCAGCTAGATTTTCTGGGTCTGATCGCATGATTGCATCGAACTCAGCAAATTTCCCGGGCCTGAAGAAAACTTTGGAGACACCAAATCGGTAGTCTGTTTCGCTCATGCCTAGAGCTCGGAAAAGAGCCTGAAATATCATAAACCATATTGTGAATGACAGCCACTTGAACTGACTCAAATATTCAACTGCAGAAGCACTCCATGAATCAAAGGAACATAAAAAAATGAATACAGAGGTTCATCATTGCTGTAAGCTTTCTGACCCCCTAAATTGTGAATTTTTGTCAACGTTCTTCTTACTGGTTTACTGGGCCGATTTTCGTTACTTTTGCAGCTATCAATAGGAGATGGTCTCTAGAATAATTGGGCAAAGCCTAAATTCTTGCCAATTTGCTGCATAAGACCAAAAAATACAAGAAAATCGTTGAAATTCGATCAAATTATCCTATTTAATCTTAATATGGGCTCTCAGAAGGGAGAAAAATTCTTGCAAGTCAAAAAACATAAACTTCCTCTAAATTAATTATAAAAGATATCTTAGGAAACCCAAGTGTGACTGTCAGTATGCGAGCTTAGGTGAGGGGGCAAGAAAATGCAGTAATTCAAAATCCAAGCCCTTGTACACTGAATTCGTAGCTGAAGAAGGTAGTCCAGGTTCTTATGTACTCCCGTGGAACGGTAAGTGAAGCAAGTGTGGAAAATATCTTAATCTCTTCATTTCGATGCGTAAAAAAAGAATTTCGATGTTGTCAAGCTCAATTTTGCGTCTAACCCCCCAAAATCAAGATGGCGGCCAAAATGGGGGCTCGGGGGGTGAAAATTATGGAATTTGATTTTGATGTCATGATTGGGGTCAATTCTTATGTAATTTTGGTCGTAGAATCCGAATTTGAGGTCCAAAATACTCTCCGACCCAAAGGGATGCCCCAAATCCAAGATGGCCGCCAAAATCTCCAAGATAGGGTCAAAACTGCGATACGTATGTAAAAGTGCCAAGTAGGGTGTCCTTGGTAGGGTTCTTTGGGTCGGAGATTTCACCTATGATGTCAAAAACTTACCACGGATCCATTGAAGCCCAAAAAAATCAAAATGGCGGCCAAAAGGGCTGCCGTTGCGGGGTGAAATATTTTGTTGAGGCAAATATCGTCGAATGAGGTGTCACTGTATAGGTTTTTTGGGTCGTAGATTCCAAACATGAGGTCCAAATAACAAAATAAGCTGATAGAAGTTCTCCAAAAGCCAAAATGGCGGCCATAATGGCTGCCGCCCAGGCATTGAACGCGTTTGAACAGTAGGGTGTCCCATTTTGGACGTTACAAAAAAAAAAATTGCGAAATCCAACAGAGATACCTGCCAAAAAGTTGTCTCATAGTTAGAAAAAAAAAGCACCAAAAAATCTCAGGGTCGTAGCTAAAGTTTGAGTGGTCCCGCAAGGTACTTAAGATGTTTCACCGATTCCTCATCTTGGCAATCTTGGCGATCTTGCAGATTTTTTTTCGGCAAATGCAATCGAGGTAAAAAGTCGCAAATGCGGATAATGAGACTTCTGATACTATATTTTAAGAGAAAAATAACGGTTTAAACCCACGAGGATCAGAATCCCTCGTTCTTAGCTCTCAAAATGCTAAAATCAGCGATTTTAGCATTTTGTAGTCAAACCGCTGCTCGACCGTCGCTCGACTTAAATGTCGCGGCATTTGACGCGCTGTTTCACAATGATCCCATTGTAGGAGTAAAAAGTCCTTCAAGTATGTTCATTAGAGGTGTAAGAGGGTTACTTTGGCCAATTTTTGTTGCTTTTAAACATTGAGCTCATTGTTTAAAATGTTTTTTGTTTTTTGTTTTGTTAATATAATTTTCCTGTTTTTCATCATTTTTTAAAATGGTTTAAAAAGGGCGACTCATCTTACACCAAAATTGAACTCCTTTGGCGAACAATATACGTAGATGGTCAAATACTTCCTCCAAAACAGTTTTTGGATTCAAAGCCTCCCAAAAAAGCCGATGTTGCCATATTTTATCCCCGGAAAACACAAAAAACCGAGTACCTATTTCAGTATTTGGAGGCTGTTCCTCACCGAGCTCATTGAGCAAATTTCAGCAAACCTTGAATTTTCATACGTTATGACCAGATTACTAGTGATTATGTACAAGTGTTTATCTATACAGCCTCCCACCGCGGCGCGACGTTGCCACATACCATCGATAAAATTCGATGGAAATCCGCGTTTCCTTAGATTTGAGCCATTTTTTCGGATATTGCACATGGAATACTTATGTAAAACTTAAATGCAGAGATGGAAGGGGATCATACCTTGTGGCAATAATCATTATTTTAAGATCCTGCGCTTATTGACGACCCATTTCTTACGAATTCTAAGCATGATGTTTGTGATGTCTCCAAATCTTAGGGAGTGCAAACTCCTTGAAGGACTTTGGGAGGGTAGAGGAATTTCCACTTTGCGGTTTGAGAAAAAAATGGGGAAATTGCGAGGCAGCATTCTTAGCAATCGGTACCCGTCCAAAAGGACGGGGGTGGGGGGGAGGGCTAGGTTTAAGGGTGGGCAAAAATTCAGCATTGAGAACCCGTGTTTTTGAAATGTGGCACTGTTTCTTTTTGGTCCTCAGATCACGGTCAATGTTTGAAAGTCGCATCCTCGTGCACAAACATCATGACTAGAAATCGTAGGAAATGGGTCGTCAATAAGCGCAGGGTCTTAAAATAATAGATATTGGCACAAGGTATGATCCCCCTCTATCTCCACGGAAAAAACGAGTTTAGGGTTGGGACCTGCGGGGCAGGGCCGGCCCTACACCCGGGGTAGGTAAAATTGCTTCACCTAAACATCGAAGGGGCAGGCCCATGCTGAAGTTAAGGTTCAGCCCTACCTGCCTCAGGGCCTAGTCCTACCTGAGGCGGGGCCGAGCACTAACCACATAGGGCTGGGCCCTGGAGAAGGTAGGACTGGGTCCTGAAGAAGTGAAGAAGGCAGGGCTGGACCCTGCAATGCGGGAAGGACCGGACCCCCTAAAAAAGAATTCGAGGATGTTACTCTACTTATGCGAGCATATTTAGCGCGCTCTATGCACTGTTCTATGAAGTACTCACACAAAATCGGAGGGACTGTATTTTGGATCAGTTTGAACATTGAATGCAAAGAAATAGTAAATTTTAAAAAAGCCTGAATTACGGCCATTTAAATAATTCTTAGCTCAATTTCGATGGCATATTCAGAATCTACATGAAAAAGTGGTCTAGAAATACTCTTTCAAAGCATGATGGATTGATAAAGAGTCTCGCTATGGAGAGTCAAAGAGAGGAGAGTCGAGAAAATGAGAATCGCTAAAACGGGCTGTTTTGAATACCGCTAAAATTCACCCCATCTTTGGGGGTCGATATCTCGCGAACGGGGCGTCAGATGGGAAAACCCTTCAAAATTGGTTTCTTAATATGATATAAAGACCCCGTACGCCAATTTTCAACCAAATCGGAGGGGGTCGAGTTTTGAGCTTGGTTGCGTTGACGTGGAATGACCCATATGTATTCCATGTGCAATATCCGAAAAAATGGCTCAAATCTAAGGAAACGCGGATTTCCATCGAATTTTATCGATGGTATGTGGCAACGTCGCGCCGCGGTGGGAGGCTGTATAGATAAACACATGTACATAATCACTAGTAATCTGGTCATAACGTATGAAAATTCAAGGTTTGCTGAAATTTGCTCAATGAGCTCGGTGAGGAACAGCCTCCAAATACTGAAATAGGTACTCGGTTTTTTGTGTTTTCCGGGGATAAAATATGGCAACATCGGCTTTTTTGGGAGGCTTTGAATCCAAAAACTGTTTTGGAGGAAGTATTTGACCATCTACGTATATTGTTCGCCAAAGGAGTTCAATTTTGGTGTAAGATGAGTCGCCCTTTTTAAACCATTTTAAAAAATGATGAAAAACAGGAAAATTATATTAACAAAACAAAAAACAAAAAACATTTTAAACAATGAGCTCAATGTTTAAAAGCAACAAAAATTGGCCAAAGTAACCCTCTTACACCTCTAATGAACATACTTGAAGGACTTTTTACTCCTACAATGGGATCATTGTGAAACAGCGCGTCAAATGCCGCGACATTTAAGTCGAGCGACGGTCGAGCAGCGGTTTGACTACAAAATGCTAAAATCGCTGATTTTAGCATTTTGAGAGCTAAGAACGAGGGATTCTGATCCTCGTGGGTTTAAACCGTTATTTTTCTCTTAAAATATAGTATCAGAAGTCTCATTATCCGCATTTGCGACTTTTTACCTCGATTGCATTTGCCGAAAAAAAATCTGCAAGATCGCCAAGATTGCCAAGATGAGGAATCGGTGAAACATCTTAAGTACCTTGCGGGACCACTCAAACTTTAGCTACGACCCTGAGATTTTTTGGTGCTTTTTTTTTCTAACTATGAGACAACTTTTTGGCAGGTATCTCTGTTGGATTTCGCAATTTTTTTTTTTGTAACGTCCAAAATGGGACACCCTACTGTTCAAACGCGTTCAATGCCTGGGCGGCAGCCATTATGGCCGCCATTTTGGCTTTTGGAGAACTTCTATCAGCTTATTTTGTTATTTGGACCTCATGTTTGGAATCTACGACCCAAAAAACCTATACAGTGACACCTCATTCGACGATATTTGCCTCAACAAAATATTTCACCCCGCAACGGCAGCCCTTTTGGCCGCCATTTTGATTTTTTTGGGCTTCAATGGATCCGTGGTAAGTTTTTGACATCATAGGTGAAATCTCCGACCCAAAGAACCCTACCAAGGACACCCTACTTGGCACTTTTACATACGTATCGCAGTTTTGACCCTATCTTGGAGATTTTGGCGGCCATCTTGGATTTGGGGCATCCCTTTGGGTCGGAGAGTATTTTGGACCTCAAATTCGGATTCTACGACCAAAATTACATAAGAATTGACCCCAATCATGACATCAAAATCAAATTCCATAATTTTCACCCCCCCGAGCCCCCATTTTGGCCGCCATCTTGATTTTGGGGGGTTAGACGCAAAATTGAGCTTGACAACATCGAAATTCTTTTTTTACGCATCGAAATGAAGAGATTAAGATATTTTCCACACTTGCTTCACTTACCGTTCCACGGGAAGCTTTTTTTGAACATAAGAACCTGGACTAAGGAGGCACAGGTTAGTATTATTCAATCAAGCCAAAATATTATGGAGGTTCATTTTCCATGAAACAACACGGTTTACAGGGGTGAGGCGGTCGACAGTTGGACAGATGCTAAATGAGAACGATCCCACTCAACGGCCTTCATAGAAAAGTATGGGTCACCTTATTTCTGTTTTTGTGGTAATACACATTATCCTGATCAATTTTATTGGAAATTGAAAATACATCAAATTTACTTACCTTACAGAATAACCTAGGATCCAAATTTTTCAACTGCTTTGGAAGGAATTTCTGGTACATATTATACAACTCATTGAAGTGGGCTCGAGAGGGAAAACCTTGCTGCATCAATTCCAGGACACTCGTCATTCCGCTACATTGGAGTTGCGATAAAATAGATCCTCCTTCAAACTCATGATCCACCATTCGTTGATTAGGTTTTATACACCTGACAAAACTTGTACCCTTGAAAATGCAAAGAAAAATTAATGAGCAACAGTATCAATATGCACTAATACGGAAAAAACATTTATTTACTTCAGCTTCAGACAAAGAAATAAACACATTCATTAAAGTAGGTGAATTATCAACAAAAAAACTTGGTGTGGTAATTTTTTTTCTAACTGAAAAACAGAGATTCGATTAACATTCAATAAAAAAGAGATGAAACAATAGCATCGAGTTAAACCCTGCCTTTGATGATACACATTTCAAACATGAAGTACTCTTTCCGTTATTGGTCCATCCCTGTCCACAAAGCTAATAGCTAACTGTTAAGGAAGTACTCAGCTCTCTGCAGAAACCTCTGTTTTTTCACTGGTCTCTTGACAGGTCTGGCAGTATATTTAGCAATCTTCTCAATTTCAATCATTGCATTATAGTCGGTATCTCCTTCAAGTGTGTTCTACATTGCTTGAGTGCTTGCTTTCAAAGAACGTTATTTTTAGAAAAGAATAAATTGGGTTGCGTTCAGGTTGTCACATCCATTGCAATGCAATTTTAAAATTGGGACATCTACTAAAGTTCATTAGTCTTTCAGCATTAATTTTTATTTACGCTTGTGCAGTGAAAATCGGATATTACAACATTGCTTACAACAACATGGGATCTGGTCAATCCCTCGGTTGAAATCTCATCGAATCAATGCATTAATGCATCGGTTAGAGCTACATGATGACCAAATAAGGCCGGTTCCTGAAAGGTTGTTGTATCCAATTCCCACTGTATGTCAAACAACGAATAAAACCGGATAAGTTTCCAACTTTCTGGGTTTAATTTACCGCATTGTCATTTTTTCTCTTAGTAATACTGTTCTTTTCGATAGAAAATTGATCGAATTTATAACTGCATTGAGTTAAACTTGTTTTCATAGTTTATCACTCATTAAATCTCATTATTCATAACCCAATGACTAATTATTAAGTAATAAAGGTCGAATCAGATACTCACCGTGCTTTTCAATTTATCCATGAGTTCTCCTAATTGTGTCTTAAATTTCGAGCCAACACTGATGAAAGCTAGTTTTCCTTTATTCAAACTGGCACTAGAATCATTGCCACTGAATAGGCTCTGAAGAAACTTATTGTTGCTTTCTTGAATCAAAGCCTCTAAACTTGCGTGGAGTGCATCATTATTTTTCTCCAGAAACTGATCCTGAAATAATATTACGTTACAGTCATATTAAACATAACAATAATGCATAGTGCTGAGATTTGAGTATTTAAAACGTCTCAGTTTGATAAATCTCTACAATTGATGTTTGAAAGTAAACATTTTGCATTGTAACCAGGTATGATTGGAAAAAATTTAAAAATAATACTTTACTAACTGAAGATTTTTGTGAGGAAAAAATTACCTGCATCATATTAAATGAACAAATACAACAAGAAAAATTAAGAAAACAATCAGAAAGTAGGAATCGAACTTACAGTATGGTAACAAACAGCTCCTGCAAAATGCCTGATTAGAAAGCCTTCGGTATCTCTGATTTCTCGATGAGCTTTCAGGCGAGACGTACGTGGAAGGGCCAGCCGGAAATGATTTTTCCATTGCTGATGCACCTCACCAGTGAAATGTTCCGGACTTTGCTTCGGTAGTTTTGATTCTTCGTCTAATAAACTAAAAATGCCAACTCCCTTTGCTTCAATTAAATCTGAAAGAAGAAAGCTCTCATTAGGACTCGAGGCGACACTGAGAATTTTTCATTTCTATGCAATACATTTACAGATCCGTGCAAGAAAATAAATAAAAAATAACAATTAACGATTGCAAGTGTCCTTTGGTGAATTGGAATAATTAAACAAAAATTAGGAGCCAACTAAATTCTTGGGTTCCTAAGTTTCCTTGCTCCTTAAAATCTACCATAAAGGCTAAAAACCTGTCTGTATGATCATCCAACAGAAGCATTTCATAAAGACTTTTAACAAGTGCTGACTATAAATTCACCAAAATAATGGTTGATTGTGATCAGCATAAAGAAAGAAAAAAAAAAAAAAAAAACTAAAATTGGGTACCTATGCAATCCTGATTATCAACAAATGCAATTTTCTTCACTTGGAGTCCTTCCCGTTCATACAAATTTTGTTCATCCTTCAGAATTCTCTCGTTGAAAAATTGCTGCAGTTTTTCATTACAGTAATTAATGCAAAACTGTTCAAAACTATTTACTGTAAAATATTCTGGAACCAAAAAACAACAAGAAACATTTTAAAACAAAATAAGAGAAAATGCTAGTTGGACATTAAGTTTTTTCACATCAATTTTTGGGCTAATCTGGTTCCCAACAACTAAGAAAAAGGAGTGCATTATTGATTCTCCTGGTGTGCACATTATCTTTTTGTGCTGTTTCACCTCTGCAAAGTCTAGTCTTTTCATCAAATCTCGTGAGTGCACTAGATTTGTCTATAAAGAAAGAAAAAATACAGCCTACTTTCAAATGAGGGTTGTTTCAACTGAATTTTTATCGGGCTGTTGAGGTTATTTTTATAGGTGTAATTCATAGATGGCACCATTCTGACATTACTTCCCTTGGCAGAAGATTTTTTCAGATTTACTTTAGATTTGATCAGAAGTAAAAGTGGTGCAAAGGCTTGTATTAGATAAAAATGTAACTGTAATTGTAAACAAGTAAAAAAACTCACCAAAACCAGCAATATCAAGGACACCGATGTAATAACTTGATGCCTTAAATGGAATGCTCTTATTAATACGCAGTACAATATTATCAAATAATTTGCTGTAAATAGCCTTTGCCAAGGCATCCCTGGCATTATTGGCTTCGTACACTTTAAGAGGAACTCTGAAAAAGATGGAAAGAAAAAATCAAAATAAAGCAAAGGAAAATAATAATGCACAGAAAACTGGTTCCCTTAATCAAATAGCTGGGCCATTACATGACCCAGACTACTATGATAAGATTGTCTTATCATCCGTTTTTTCTACTTTTATGTCCTTTATAGCTTATATTAATACTAGTTGATAGATACCATTGTTTATATTGGTAGTGGCAACAATGTATTTCTTCATAAAGATTACTTAATAAAAAAAAAAAAAAAAAAAAAAAAAAATGGAAAGAAAAAATCAAAATAAAAAAAAAAAAAAAAAAAAAAAAAAGAAAACTGGAGTAGAGAATAAAATGCTGCGAATTTTCCAAAAAAAACTATGTGCACATACATCAGGGTTGCCACAGAATTTAGATAATGGATTTCCCTGATTTTTGTGACACATTTTGGTAAAACAAACTGACAATTAAGATATGCCAGATGGTTAAAAGGACATAATTTGAAATAGTTTTCCGGCAAAATTTGTTATGCAAGACGTCAAACCCATTCTAGAAAACAAAAGATAACTTCACAATTTTTCGACACTTTTGCCATTTTCTCTGACATTTTCAGGTTTTCCCTGGCTATTTCCTGATTTTCCTAGTATTCCCCGTCTGTGGAAACCTTGATACACACACAATTTCTACTTGTAATTACACAATAATCTAAACAGAAAAAAAAATTCTGTAGAGCATTCTGATCTTTCCAGAACCAGCAAAGCAGTTCCTAATAAAGCTAAAGAGGGGATCCAGCATTCACTGTTGATCTACTTCTTTCCCCTTGGAGTAAATTTCATTTAATACTTTCACCTGGAGGCGTACTTCTAATGGGTTTAGAATGTCAAAAGATACCTAATTTTTATGCTATTACTGCAGGTTAAGAAAAGAGGTAAAACATATTTTTCCAGTTCTTTAACTCCAAACACCATGTATTTAGTATTTTTTGAAGATTACAGCAATTCTGAATGAGTATTCTTAATGATAGGGAGGAACTTACAGAATTACGGTGCCTTTCAGTCCACCTCGATTTGTCATCATGACTTTGGTCACAAGAGCCTGTCTTAATTCTTCAGGATCAACAGCCAAAAGTTTAGCAGCAGCAGACAAGGCTGCCTCGGAATGAGCGCAGACCTGGGAGCCTCCTTTGCTCCCCTCGAGGTTTTCTTCAAAAGCCACATTACCCAAGTGCAATACAGCTGCTACCACAGTGTAGATTTCATTGCGTGATGCTTCATCTAAACCAAGCCTATTGAGGGCCTGAAAAATAGAACATTACTGTAAATTTGGTGCTTACCAAGTCATTCAATCAGTTTTTCAATACATTAATAGTTCTGGGAGGATTTTTATTTATTGGCATACATTTTCTGAGAAAGTCAGAGGAGTAAATATAACAAACTGCTTATCAAAGATGGGCAAAATTCCTCATTTTTCAATCCGTGAATTTTGAAATTGTGCTATGCAAGGTTACCACAGGATTTGGAAATGAAATTCCCTGATTTTTCTGGCACTTTTTGGTAAGATACCCTGACATTTGAAGAAATGCCGGATGGTTAAAGAAACATAATTTGAAATAGTTTTCATACAAAATTGTGCTGTTCAAAATTTTAACCCATTCTAAAAATCAAGTAAAGGTGATTTAACCGTTTTCCCCTGACATGACGAACAATCTACGCAGGTCAGTCATTCTCCATGACGAGTTTTGGAACTCGACTGTGTAGTGGCGTAGAGTTGGCTTTTTTCAGAAAGGGAAATTTAAATGCACTGTATTTCTTCTGTTAGCAGCCAATGTTTCCCTGGATTCTCTGACTGTGGCAACCCTGCCTCTGAGAATTCCATAAATTAGGCAGCATGGAGAAGGCCTCAGACATTTCTGATATGCTCAATGTGATATTTGTACAATCTTACCGATGATAAGTCATTTCAGTTGGCTGAATCTCTCGAGCGGAGAAAACCCATGTCAAAATAAAATGTAAGTCCTTAGAAAAATTGGAAGATGATTAAATAAGAAGTGACTGTTGCAAGGAGGAAGGGGACTTAAATTTACCTGATCCATATTGATGAAATCCTTGACGTCATCTAACATGGGATCCTTCAAAGGACCTTTGCTGCAATGTGAGGAACTTTTCTGATTACTATTCAACGTTTTCTCAGTTTTCGAGTCGGTAAAGTATTGCGTGCACCCATTTTTCAGATACTGTTAAAAATATAAAGCAATATATGAGATAAAAAACACAAAAAACACATATTTTTTAAAGTTTGCAAAAAATTCATGTAAAGTTACCTGCTCTAAGTTACCTACATCATAAGTTACAATACAATTAGACTTTGTCCGGAGATGGCTACCGCCACCCATGATCAAGGGTGCAAAATTGGCTACCGCCACCCATGATCAAGGGTGCAAAATATTTTAAAACGTTTCAGTTTGGACAAAATTATAGGATTTTTTCTTCATTAAACTCTTTAACTCAATGATTTTTTCAGGATTAATAGATTTTAATAGATTTGGAGTATTTTTCATTATTTCAGATACTTTAAATTGTATCATTTGGATCATTTGATCATTTTGATTTTTGAAAGATCATTTTGATTTAACTTACATAGTAATCGTCTGGTTTTGTAAGGTTGAGCTTGGCTCGTAGATTGCTGGGTGCTCCAGCACACAACAAATAAAAAATATGATAGTTTCTCTCAGCAGGACTTTGAGTCACTAGCCGAGATTTTTCTAACAAATAGTGAGAGATATGACCCCCAACAACAGCACATTTTCCATCAAAGTGAACTTCCATGAATTTGCCGAATCGTGAGGAGTTATTGTTACGGGTTGTTTTAGCATTGCCAAAAGCTTCCAAAACAGGATTTGCTGAAAAGAGAAGAATACAAGTGTTAGACATGGAGGATTTCTAAAATTTACTGAAACATAAAGTTACATGAAGTAACAAGTTAATGTTCAAAATGTTACAATCACAAAATAATGAGTCAAAGTCATTAAAATTTAAAAACTATATCGTTGAATCAACCAAACTTTTGATTTAGAAAAAAAAAGGCTGAAAAAGTTTTAAACTTTCAGCTCTAGAAATGCAAGTTGGATGAAGGATATTAATGCTTTTTATTTTACTTTTAGACCCAATGTGAAGTTGTTCAATCCATAAACATTCAATTTGCTTCTTAATTCAAGAGAAAAACAAATGACATATACGAACCATCCAAAATTTTCTGCTCAATTGGACCAGCAGACGAACCCCATAAGTCACATAGGTAGCGTAGCAAGTATTTTGTAGACTCAGTTTTGCCAGCACCTGACTCTCCAGAGACAATGATCGATTGGGACTGTTTCAAGACTTTCATGTCCCTAAAAGCTTTGTCGGCTGTCAAACAAACGAAGAATGTACAATTGGAAATTGCAATTTCAGGGGGAGAAAAAAAATTCTTTAAAAAGGTACTAAGAAGGATCCACCTGCTGCAAAACATTTGTAGACCTTGAATAACACAAGGATGATCAAAGCCAGACTAACCTAGATTAGTAAAACATTGAGAGAATCACAAATTGGAACACTCAAGATCAGTGAAAAGGGATTGCAGACTAATAATCAAATGAAAATGCAAGTTTCTGTCTCATTTGGTTCCTTTTGATTGGATTTTTATTGAGCACAATTTGCAGGGATTAGTTTTCCTCTTCACCGGGTCAAATTTTTGGTAAATATTTTAACTCAGATGAGACCAAACTCTAATTCTACCTAATGGTTCTGCTGTTTTCTAGGTATTTGAAGGAAGACTTCTCCATACCTTACTTTAAACACAAAGGTCACACACAGAGCCTTTTATCACAAAGGTTCAGACTGATTTATCAACTTTTCGAACCACAAGACTGTTTTTCCAATGACAGGATCCATATTTAGGAATATTTCTGGAATGTTTTAGGAATTTTTTGCCTAAAGCTTCAATTCAATGACTTGCTACGTAAAAATCAGGAAATTTTCTGGACCATTCAAATTACTTTTCTCATGCAGAAAAGTAATTCAGGACCTCCATACGTCTTTCCTGGTGATAAAGGAACTATGAATTATCAGCGCCAATCCAATGATTGGGGGGGGGGGGGACACAAAAAAAAATGGCCCGAAACTGAAAGGTGTGGGCGCAGCACCATCCTCCACCTTGTTCAATGATTGGTAAAGAGACACTTTTCCATAAAAAATTAGATGGCGTGTTTCTGTGGTTGACAATCTGACTATCAAATTAATAACGAGGAGACAACAATGCTATTGTCTTTTGATAAGCATAAATTTCTTCAAAAACTCATGAATTACTCACCGATTGCAAAGACATGAGGGGGAAGCACTCCAAGGGACTTCCCTTGATACTGTTTGATTGTTTTTGAGGTATAAAGGTCCTTGATTTCAAAATAAGGATTGACAGCGATCAAAATATTTGCAACATAAGTCTGGAGGAGAAAAGAAGAAATCCTGTATTAGATACATCTAAAATATACAAATATTCCAATATTTGAGTTAAAAACATAGGCAAGATGAACTTTCAGAATAAATCATTGCCTTATCAGAGCACTGAAAATAACCAATGACGAGCCTTCAACAGTTTGATCAAAACCTAACACATCTACGTCTAGACAAACCATAAAAGATATGTAAACCAGAAAATTTCAAGTAGTCTAGTGAGCCACCTGTAAAAATCATTAGCTTACTGAAATACAATGATAAGAATAATAACTGGAGAGGGGCAGACTGAGCCCGAAAAAATAACTGGGAACGTAGTCCTATCAGTGCTTGAACCAGTCTGTTTTAGTTGTTTTCTGCCATGTGAAATATATAAATGATCCAAAATTTTCTAAATATCAACCGGTCCATCAGGATTTTTCCTGTAGTGTCCCTACTTGCCTGTCTGCCCCAGTGACTGAGAATCGCTTATTGTCTTTTTTGATCTTTGAAACTCGCATTAAAAACAAAAAAAAATTAGAAACAATAAGTATATACTCACATAAATTTTATCTTTCATGTATCGCAATCGTATATTATTTAACAATGTTGCTTCATTCAAATGCATTAGAGCACCTGAAAAAAAAAATAAAATTGATGAATCATTGAACAATAAAAAAAAATCAAATAGAAGAAAGACAAACAAAAAATTCATCAAGCACTCTTGATTACGTAGATTATTTTGAATGACTAAACCAAAATTAGAATGTAATAAGTTCAATTTAAATAAAATTTATCCATTTCCCAAGTTCACAGGCCGTATATCCTATGGATAAAAAAGTCAATTCTATAAACCTGATTTTTTACCTAGGAAATACCTTACAAGCAAAGGAAGTAGCAAGTTAGGAGGAGTTTTTGCCAAGCACTAAGGTATCCGAAGCTGCTTAATACCTTCAGCGCCTGAATTTTTTTCTCTCATTGATTCTTGTTTGAAGCTTATTCAGTGTGACAGATATTGAGTCTCATTAATGGTGCCATCTGAACGCATGAAAAAGCCTCTTGAGCAAGGCTGATTCCTCGCTCCTTAGGAATTAAATTTTGTCTCAATATAAATAAGTACTTTGAATAGGCTCTGACTTTTTTATAGGGACATGGCCTAACACAGAGAGAAAAACAGTGTGCAATAGGAACATAGCCTACATCATAGAAATAAGGGCACATAGAGCCTTCAAAGTAGCGAGTAGAAGGTACAAAGGATGACCTTTTACCTTCTTATCCTGACATAACGATGGATAAGTAAAGTTCTACAGGGTTTGTAAAAAGTGATGAGTCTGAAAATGGAAGGACTAATACTTACAATTATCATTAACATCTCTATCTTCATGTTCCTCAGCAGTGTAGACACGATCCAGACTACATGTGGTCTTGGGTTTTCTTGAATCAAAAGGCTGGACTGTGACTTCATCGAGGCCGATGTCGATAATTTTCCCCAAGATGAAACCCTCCGCTTGATCGGACACCCAGACTTTTTGCTCCATGATGCAAGGCTCGTTCTCCCTGAATAAACAAGAGAAAGTCATTCTGTAAGATATTGACAAGTTACCAAAATCGACAAATTTCCTCTGCTTTTTAAGTAGGAGGCTAAAGATTCACAAGAAAATATTCAAAAAAATAAAAAAAGCTCTGAGTGAGTAGGATAATGGTACTTTCGTAAAAGTAGCTTGATAGGTGAGCCACAGAATACTTGACCAAATACTGTGATTTGAACCAAATATCAGGTGGAACTAACTCCCCAGTTAAACAACGATGCAGAGGCATGACGCAATAAAATCAGAAGGACCGAGTCAACAAACACAAACCTACGAAATAAGTGTGCGGTTGCAGAAGAATCTAAGATCCTTTAAGTAAGGGAAGAAGTGAGTAGAGGTATTTGTTAATAGTGGCAAGCGACAAACCTCTGCAGGGCAGTCATTTACTTCCCTCAACTATGAAGGCTAGCTATAACAAGAGGGTGAACGATGGGGGGCGACAGCTGCAAGGACTGGCAATGAAAGCCATGTTAGCCAGCGGAGCCTGATTTTTACGGTCTGAATCAGTGAGGGACAATGTCCAAGATCAGCCAGCAGGTCAAGTAGGTATAAGCTGCCCGATTCCTACAATGGACGAGAAGATGATAAAACTTCCGATATCAAACATTGTCACCAAAACATGTAACTTGAAATGTAAACGAGTAATCCCTATTAAATGCCCGGTGGCGTGCTATGAAATAGACAAAATCAATCAGGAGTGTAAGTCCTTTATGTAAAATAATGATCATGCATGCTCTGCTGATACAGAAGTATGAATACAGATACTATATGTAAGACGAATTGATAAATGTCGATCTGTTAATAACAGGTACCTGCTCATGTTTAATATCGGCACAAAATAACGGACAGATCCAAAATCGAGCACAAAAATCAGTAATCAGTAATTAAATGAAAACCAGTTTTGGAATCATTTGAATAATTTGAATGAACAACATTACAAACACACGAACACACACACAAAACAGCTGTTACGTCAGATGGTCGATGCATGACGAAATCAACGCAACGGTAGCCAATCGATGAAGTTGCCGCCTTTTTTCGAAATATTTTGAACGCTTTTAAAAAAAAGGCGCCAAAATAAAAGAGCGCACATTGTGACAAGGCGATTTCATCGCATCATGTCGCGGAAAAGCAAGACCCTTTAACCTTTGGGACCCTTTAACATTTGAAACCCTTTAAAATACTCATCGTCTATCGGTTCCACTTCCCTGAATCTGTCGTAAGGTTTTCCTCGAGAGCGCGTGTGTTTGTTTTAGCACTTTCAATACTCCGTAGCCGCTACCATTGAATTTTTTTCCGCATTTTTCGATTTATACAGACCAAATTATCCTCGCCGGTAACATTCCGTAAAATTGAGAGTATTCAAAAGTATAAGTAGTCTCATATGTTTGATTTTTGGCGGTGTTACCGTTTGTGAGTAATTTTCGAAAAACCGGGAACTTCATTTAGTACGAGATGCGGTAATCATTGCGCAAGGCACGCATACACGAGCGCACTTTCACTCGTCACAGGTATCGAACTGGAATCAAAACCAAGTGCAACGTCTGGAACCACGTGGCCATGGCTCGTGGGGCAACGAAAAAAGAAGGAAGAAAAAAACTGAACAATTATTTCAGCTGCGACGTTATCTTGATAACGAATCTGGCTTAAAACTGCGCTATGTCCGGTGGCGCCGGGCAAATCAAGGAAATCCGGACCAAGATGCTTTTCGGGCGAGATGATCTAATTACTTACTTACATTCTGCCATGCCAAGGAAGAACGCCGTATGAGCTATCAAGCGTTGTCAAATTTCCTTTGACCAATCACGAATTTTCAGAAAAACTTCTAAATATTTCTCTTCCGAATTTTCAGAGGAATTTGTTCGTAATTTGATGAATAAAATATGAAAATTTCAAGGAAAAATATTCATAACTTTCCTCCAAAATACATATTTCTTCGGAGGGATTTTGGCAACATTCGAATGCTCATACAACATTTTTACTTAACACGGCAGCATTGTCGGAAGATTGTTGGCCTGACGACGTCACGATGGATTTAAATCACTACGAGGATCAAACTTAATGGTACCTACATCTTAGAACAGATTTGTCTAAATGTGAAAGTACACGGAAAGAAATCGAAACCGATTGGCCAGTTTTAATGACTATTATGTGTTGTGTAAAAGATCGGTAAAAACCACCAATTCAGAGAAATCTTCCAGACTTCTGAAAACACATATTTGATGGCGAAACTACAAAATTGCGCATCTTTGTTTGCGACGTTCCAAACTTCCTGTCATACCTACTTTATTTTCTACATCGAACACTACTAAACGTAATTTCTTGAAAACTTCGGTGATTATTATTCTCTATGTGAAGAATATTCTGAGAAAATTTCTAGCCATGATGTTGGTTTGGTCTCCTTTTTGAAAATAAAACCGAAGCTGAGATTTTGAAACACCGCAAACTATATTTTTGCAGTTTTACCGTCAATTTGTACGCTGCCCACAATTGTACGCATACAGAACGTGTATAACGCAATTTGGATTTAAAATGTTTAAGATTTTCCAGAAATTACGAAATTCTCTTGAAACATGTGGGTAAAATTCTAGGGGTTTTGCCGCCCTGTTTTACTTATTTATTTTTTTTTTTCGTTTACCACATCTGTCACTATTTTCTGGCTCGCGTATCTTAATTTACAATATCGCAAATTTCTCTTCGTATACCATATTTTTTATTAAATAGGTGAAAAGTAAACACCATCATTGATTAAAAATTTCTGCGTTCGTTATCCTGTTTTATAAAAAGTATTTTTTGAAAATTAGAAATGACCTTGGTTGGTTCTTCTCCAAACGCCAAAAAAAATAATCGAAAATTTTAGGAAATGTGTTTTCAAATCAGTCATCTACTATCTACCTGAGAAATGTTGTCAGTTTCTACCATATACCCATGCTTCATCTCCTTGTCTCAAAGTTACCTACTGTGCCGACTATTTTTCCAGCGACAGGAAATTTTCACGGCAAAATGTACGATCGTCTAGGGGTACGCCATTTCTAGGCACGTTACAACAGCAATTGTATAATGGTGAAATCACTAAAAGTGGAACTGAAAAATAACGGTCATAAATATTTATGATGAATTGTAATCATCCTCTCTGAGAGCTGTTATTTCAGCGATTGCAACTCACCAAAGCAATTTTCTCTTCAATGAGAGCGTTGGCCTCTGTAAACCCTAAATTTCACCGAAGTTACGCCAGTGACAAGGGGACAGGACAAATTTCCTGGAATTAGAAACAGCTCGGATCTGAATCAGAGGAGCAAGTGTGCCGTGATGTAACCCCTGTCATCAAAAAACGACTGCCATTTTCAGACTCTCAAGAGGGGAACTGTTATCGAACATTTTCCGGCCATTTTTTCTTGGTTAAATGGTAAATGGAAATAGCATTAATGATGCGGAATAAAGCATTTGAAACAAGTTTCACTTCAAAATTCTGAATGTAGGGGTAGTTTTCAGTGCAGCTATTCATTCGCTCGTGTCAAAAAATTCTAAAAATAAGTCGAAATTCAATTTTTAATTCAAAACGGTAGGTATTGATTCACTCGCAGACCTAGAGGTTCACAACTCTATCATAGGAAAATTCCATTTCCACATTCAAGGCTTCATTTTTTCATTTTTAGTTTCTAATGGCGAGGCAGAATTATATTAATAAATGAAGGATGATCATTTATTAGGTTTTTTGTAAAACAGCATTTCGTCAGACAAAAATTGAAAAAAAGTTGAATGGAGATACGGCGTTCTTACTTTGGTCGGCAGATTATGCAATTAGGAAGTGCAATTTCTTGCTCAGTTGAAAAACAACGTATGTGCCATTAGTTTCCCTATAGACATACGTTTTCTCACGGATGAGTTAGGAATTGTGATTCCTAATTGCAAAATGGACGTATTTCTATTAAACGGAACTAAGCGCCAATTTGAGTTCCTTTTGAGGAATTTTGAATCCCGGATAGCGCGTTCTGTCAAACGGACCTAAGCGCCATGGAAAAGCATTGCGAGTATAGGACGGAATAAGCTGGACGCCCGATTCCGCCGCCAATTCAAGCCCCCCTCTACCTTCCTCACCCTATGGCGCTTAGGTCCGTTTGATAGAAATACGTCCAAATGTAGTTCAGTTAATGCTTCCCCTCAAAATGATGTTACTCACATTGACGTAGGAGTCATTTAGGCCCCGACTTAACCCAACAGTGTCCGGGCTCGCAGCGCAACGTTGACAAAAATAACGGCATATTACGTAACCGGAGAGCCCGTCACGCAACGAGCAACGAGCCCATTGCAAAGAAAACAGAGAAGTGGGTCATGAAGCCGGTCGTTTTTCTTTTACGGATGAAACCCGTTGCCAGTCGCGCTCTTTTCGCGCGGGTGCTACTTCGGCTTCGAGGCCTCCCAACTCCAGAACCATCGTCTCAACCTCAAACCCGATCTGTATTCGCGGACCACTGACTCTAACTGTACCGAAATGCGTTAAATTTTCCACAGAGATTGAGGACTCCTTGGGTAGGGGGGCGTAAAAAAGCTCGCAATGCTGCTAAAATTTTGTAATTTTTTTTGTTTCTGTAAGTAGAATATATCCGAAAGCTTCTATGTCTAGTGTTCTGGGCACAGCGTGAGTTTGTCCGCAATATTGTGCTTCTGAGCCTCGGTTGGGTCTTTACCTCCATTCGGACCAACCAACCACCGCACCGGTTTGGTAGACCATAAAAACTCTAGATCGGGTCCAAAAAACAAAAAAATATTAACAATAATACGATTCACCGTGACTGAATCGGAATCTGATCGATAAATTAAGAATATGTACCTCTAGTTTTTTTCCACCTATGAATCCCATAAATCGGTGAAAAATGTATACTGGTTGCTTCGAGTTGATCATCGATGAGATAATAAGAAAAAAATGGGATCAGCTGTTTTCACATTTTTTGGACACTTCAGGTTTGT